CAAGTTTGAACCAAAAGATGAAGTACACATGTACAAAACCATAATAATCCATCACATTCTTGAATCATCATCTCAAAAAATTTCAAAAAGACGAGGGATACAAAGGCGAACAAGCTTCGAATTCAATCAATTGTGAATAGTCAACCAAGAAAACAATGAAGAAAATACCTTTTCATGTGTCCATTGTTCTTCCCATCCATTGCCCTTTTCAAATCCATATTAAGAGAACATATATTTACTCATTGAGTTTCTGAAGAACTTGCAAATTTGCCCTTCTTTGACCACAACCAGATCTTGGATACAGAGTAGCTATCAGTTTTAGACCCAATACTAATTTTCTTCCCTTCCATATCCCCATCAACTATAGGTTTGCCATTGCCATTTTGTTCTATTCCGTTCACAATCTTCATATCATCACCATTTCGATCATGACTCAATGCCACTCTGAGGTTTGTTTCGCCAACTACATACTGATACGAACCCATTGAGTAACATCTTCTTGCATCCAAATTACTGCTACTGGTCTCCCCTCCACCTGCCTCCCCGGCACCATCGTCCAATTTTCTGAACTTTCCAAGTCTTACTGGGAAAACCCCCTTTTCACTGACAATTTCCTCAATTTCTACAGTCTTCTGATTCGAAACAAACCCATTATGTGGATTATTAGGAAACCCATCATCTTCTCTAAAATCATCGAAACCAAAAATTGGGTTTTCGATGGATAGTCCAGGAGTAAAGAGGGTCCCTCTACAAAGAGGACATGTTGAGTTTGATAAGAGCCAAGTATCTATACAATTGATGTGGAAGGCATGGCTACACATAGGAAGCAATCTAAGCTTGTCTTTCTCAGAAAATTCACCGAGACAAACAGCACAATCAAATGGCTCGTTACCACTACCCACTACATCTTTGTACATGAAGACAGGTAAAGCGTCTATGAAAGCTTGATCTAGACCAGAGTCATGGAGATGAAAGAGTTGTTGTAGTTGTCTTTCGAGAGCATCAGAGCTGGAAACTTGTGGGTATCTGTCATTGGATTGAGTTGAGGAAGATGGGTGCTTCATGAGAAATCTAACAAGCAGGTGGAGGAGACCAGATATGAAAAACAGAACAGCTAAGATTACTATAATGAATAGAACAGCTGGACTAATTCTAGTACCAGATGATGAAGACGATGATGATGAGGGTGAAGGGTTTGAATCTTTATGAAAAGTACCAACATATGGAGAGAGAGGAGGAGAGATTTGATGTTGAATCCAAGACATTTTCAAATGGGTGTGGTCAAGAAACCATCTTTGATCTCTGAAGTCTGACATTGAACAGATCATTGGGGTATATACTCAGAACCCAGTAGTCATGAGGTCATCAGACCCACAACTCATCTTGTGAACAAAACAAAATAAACACTTTCTTTCACTGACATAAAACTCACAAGAAGTTCACAACTTTTGCACTCAGATTTGAGAGAAATTGTGTTCTTTTTCAGATAGATGTTATGGTGAAATGGTGTAGCATTTTTTTATTGCTTGAAGATGGAAAACCCAAGTCACTGATTGCAATAATGAGAAGGAGGAGACAGAAGAAAATATAGAGGTTAGAGAAGGGTTTACTTGTACCTACCTGTTGATCCTGAAGAAGAAGCCACCATTAATGTAATTCTAAAAGTCGTTTCAAGTGGACCCTCAAGTTGCAGCAGCAACAAAACCCTAGAACAGAGGATTCCGAGGAAGAGGAAAGTCATACATATGCGAAACTTTGAAAGAGAAGGTATATCTATATGTGAAAGTAGTTTATGGTGTCGTTTGGAAAATGGATTGGCGTTTTTGGTTTTTTGTTTTTTTTTGTTTTACTAATTTAACTTGGGTTAAAAAGTTTAATTTGAGAAGAATTTTTTTGACTTTTTAATGTTTTAATATTTTTTTAGAGAAGAATGTAATGATTATAAATTAAATATAATATTTTATTTTTTGTGACAAAAATAATTTATTTTGTCTTTTATAATTAAAATAGCCAAAAACGCCACAAATAGTCCTTCTCAAATGGAGATGCATATCGAATTATGTGATGCATTCTATCGTCAAATAGTAACCATGAAAAATTAATTATTGGGAAACTAGAGCATAAGATAAGATAAGATGATGTAAATTTGAAGTTAGTAGAATATAAATTGCATTCATAATAAATAATTATAGTTTATTATTTTGATTTTTAAATAATATTTTAGATAATTATTTTAATATTTTTATTTATTATTTGTTGTGAGTAAGAAATAATATCAGAATTTGATGTATCACACATATATTTCTTGCACAAAATAATAATGAATCTAAAAAAATATAAACAAAATAAAAAATTAGACACACATGGATGAATAGGTTTTTTAAGAAAGTAATATTTACAAATAAATATTGAACTTTTTTTTTTCTGTTCAATAATTTTTTTATTTAATTTTGTATTCTTTTTTTTCTTTTCTTTTTTTTGTATTGAAATTTTTTAAGGAAAATGCATTTGATCCCAAGACATTTAAGTTTTATTTGAAAAGTATTAGATTAGTATATTTTTTGTTTTTTATAAAAAAATATAAAATGTCAATTAAGATTAAAATGATGCAATAGAAAAGTAATATAATATAAATAAGATGATTGTGCCAAACAAGATATTTGATAAATTTTTAGAATATATATCCTTACTCATTTTCTAATTGCAAAATGCTTTTTCGATCTTCATGTGCATTGTACATTGTATATAACTTTACACAAATTTATATAAGTAATCTTATAAATTTGTATATTCACATAAATTTATATTTAATTTATATATTTTTATATAATCACTTACATAAATTCAAAAAAAAATCAGTGGTATTACATGTACCAATTAACGTACTAAGTAGTGTGTCAACACCAATTATGATATTATTATTGATCTCATTCATTATATAAATTACAAATATTAAAGAAAAATTAAATTATACCACATTATTAATTAATACACTAATTAATGAATTAATTAATACATAAAACATTATGAGTTATGCTAGGGACCCCAAACAAATTATCAAATTTTCTACCAAACTTTTCACATGAGTGTGGGATCCACACATATGAAAAGTTTGGTAGAGATCTCACATCCATGTTAAAAGTTTAGTAAAAAATTTGATAATTTATTTGGGATCATAGCGTTTTCCAAACACTATTCAAAAAATTTACGTAATTTTATGCTGCATATCAGAACATTTTCTCTATGTAGAGAAGACAAAAGGCTGGCGGTGAGTGTGGTCAGTGGTTACCAAAGTACAAGGTAATAATACCGAAAGGAAACCACTTTCACTTTGGAAGAGTAACACGCGCCAAAATAAGAACGTGAAAGTTATGCGTATCAAGTGGGATTGGGAAGGTGGGCCTGGGCTTGATTCGGAAGTAACCTCCGGACTCAGCCCACTTGGCACTTGTGTGCTCAGAAGTCAAAGCTCTCTCTGCCTTTCCAATCACAGTCACTCACTGCTTAAATTAGGCAAATATCAATTATGGATTTTATTTTAATTTTTTATATAAAAAAAATGATATTCTTTTTTATTGATATTCTTATTTTTTTTATTAATAGCAAGTTTGAAAATAGACTATTTTAGTCAAAAAATTAATTTTTTAATTTTTTTATACATTTTTTTATAAAAAAAAAAAAAAATTAACCAATATACTTGACTCTCAAAACAACTCTAAATGCCGTCCTTAATATTATTTGTATTTTATTTTGCATCCATAGACACGTACTCTTATTATGTTTTATATGCGTATATAGTTTTAGGGATGGCAATTTGAAACCGCCCCAATAGTGACTCGACCCCCCGACCCCGAATTCAGCGGTTATTCACCGAAAAATATCCCCTACGGGCCGGGGACGGTATTTAAAAATTCATCCCCGATGATATCCGGGCCGAGGACAGGGATATATGTTTCAGAACCAGCCCCGCCTCGCATGGTCCCCAAGCTAAAATGACCCTTTTGTCCCTGGATATATATATATATATGCATATGCTTGTCTTGGTTAGGGTTTCACAAAGACACACACTCAAAGCCTCTCACACTCACTCACGCCGCTCCTCTCTCTCTCTCTCTCTCGCTCGCCACTGGTCTGTCCCTCTCTCTTTCCTCCGTCACCGTCGCGCCTCCCTCCGTCACCGGCGATCCTCCTTCCATCACTCAAAGCCTCTCACACTCACTCACGCCGCTCCTCTCTCTCTCTCTCTCTCGCTCGCCACTGGTCTGTCCCTCTCTCTTTCCTCCGTCACCGTCGCGCCTCCCTCCGTCACCGGCGATCCTCCTTCCATCACTCAAAGCCTCTCACACTCACTCACGCCGCTCATATCTCTCTCTCTCTCTCTCTCTCTCTCTCTCTCTCGCCACTGGTCTGTCTCTCTCTCTTCCCTCCGTCACTCAAAGCCTCTCACACTCACTCACGCCGCTCATATCTCTCTCTCTCTCTCTCTCTCTCTCTCTCTCTCGCCACTGGTCTGTCTCTCTCTCTTCCCTCCGTCACTCAAAGCCTCTCACACTCACTCACGCCGCTCCTCTCTCTCTCTCTCTCTCGCTTTTTTAATCTATTTTATATTGAACCTTCTTCAGCTGGATTAGGAGTCTTTGAATCTTTTTTTTTTGTCTTTGAATCTATTTTATATTTTTTACAATATAGATCTGGTTTCCCAGATTTCGATCTATTTTATATTGATAATCAGTTGGATTAGGAGTCTCTCTAAGCTTCTGGATGCTTTGAATTTTGGTCTTGATCATGATATGGAACAAAGATTGGTTAGCTAATCTGTAGATTTACATTTATGGTATTAAGTGTTGTTTTTGGTATTAAGATTGGAGTAGAGCAGTCTCTATATAGGCTTTAGTGTTGTTTTTGGCTATTTTGTATAGTTTGATAGGGAAGAAGGTTATACTTATTTTTTGAAGGAAAAAAAAAAAAAGAGTAGTGATTGTAATTGGCACATAGCATTTTTTGTTATTGACAAAACAGAAATTAATCCAATGTTCAAAATGGTGTTTGAATTATGGACCAGTCATCAGTGCTCAATCCAAGTCTAAGAATGAAAAACATGTAAGAACTGAAATGGAAGGCTTCCTTTTCTGGGGAACAAAAGAAGAAAAAAAGAGAACTGAATTACAACTACCTTGTAAATTTGATTTATCAAATAGGATGAAAACAAACAAATTTAGCTTATGTCCTTTTATTTTATTCTTTTCCTCTTCATTCCCATCCCCCTCTAAAATTTATGATGCAAACATAGTTTGAATATTATATATAAAAAGAAGGTAAATAGTCAAAATGTTCAAGCTATGGAATTTTGGAACATGCCTTCCTATAATTTTGCAACAAAATGGTGCATGCACTTTTATTTCCCCTAAATTTTTTGCTTTGAAAACCAATTCTTGGATACTACCTGTCCATGCTGCTTGATAGAACATAATTTAGATCTCAAGCTCACTCAAGTCAATTGGAAAACATTACACATCAGATTCAACTAGCTTAGAAAATAGTCTGTCTTGGTCTTGAAGCACAACCTAACTAGTTAGGATTTCGCTTAAAGGTGATAAATTGATAAAATATTACAGTGTGGTAATTTATATTTGAAATCTTTTACAATTATGTTTCAATCATGTCATAATTTGTTAAAAAGATGATGAGTACTTAATTTATTTATATTAATTCAATCCATATTATTTTTATAAAGATTAAAAATGTCAGATGTTAACTCTGAAGCACCAGTTAACTCTGAAGCACCCGTTAACTCTCAAGTACCATTTGAGAGTGATGCGTCACAACATTCATCGCCAGCTACGAACGCACCTACGAACTCACCGTCTCCCCTCTCTAATCAACATGTTATTGATTTAGAAGAGTCTAATACTACTTGTGGAGGAACTAAAAGAAAACCAAGTATTGTGTGGGAACATTTTAAAAAACAACAAGTCAATGGGGTGTGGAAGGCAATATGTAATTATTGTAATAAGCATCTTGAAGGTGATTCAAAAAATGGAACCAGGCATTTGCATGATTACCATGGAATAATTTCACTATTGAATTTATATTCTTTACTTTTTAGGAAATTCAACATTGGAATCGGTGGGCTATGTAACTATATATGATTATGATGAGATGGAGTCGGATCAGTCATGTGCCACTTTTGTGTTAGTTGTCATCTTTTTTGTTGTAATTAACATTTTTTACATTTTATTATTAGTATTAATTATTTATTTTTTTTCCTTTTGTTATTTAACAGGAGTTCAAGTTGAAGGAGATGATGGAAGTTGTGTGGTTTGTATGGGTTTGAAGAAACAATGGATTTGCTTTTTTTGTTGTAATGGATATTTTTATTTTTATTTTTAATTTCAATTTTTGGGTAACCTATCCCTTGCGGGTTGTGCTTGGGATTAATTATTTTCTTTGCTACTTGTTGAATTTTCTTGTGTGCTGCTGGACACATGTTTTGGTTGTGTTATTTTGTTCATGTTTTGGTTGTGTTATTTTGTTACTATAGGATGCTTTGTGTGTGGGTTGTGTATGTATGGGCTGCTGAATTAATGTTTATTAATGTTTTGCTACAAAATGTTTATTGATATTTATTGATTTAAATGGATGTTGCTACAGATTTATTGATGTTGCTACAGATGATGTTTTTTAAATGGATGTTTATTGATATTTATTGATCTAATTAATTAAAAAAATGATATTCCAACTGATGGATGTTGCTACAGATTTATGGATGTTGCTACAGTTTTAATTAATTAAAAAAATGAAGCTATTAGGGTTGATATTGATAAATTTCAAAATTTATACATCCAGTATTGAAGGGTGATTGAGAATGTTTATAGAGTTTTACATAAAAATAAAAAAATAAAAATAAAACCGGGGATTATCCGGGGTTGGGGATCCCCGATCCCCGATCGGGGGCGGGGATGGGGCCGGGATAGGGGTCCCCGTCGGGGATCGGGGTCCCCGTCGGGGATCGGGGACGGGGGGAATATTACTTTCGGGGATCGGAGACGGGGTAGTCTCCGGCCCTGCCCCGCCCCGTTGCCATTCCTATATAGTTTTCACTGTCAATGTTTAAAAAACATTTTCCACTGTGGAATGTGATTGGTGGTTAGAGAAATTCACTTTTTTAGAAATTTTTTGTGTAAAAAAAAATAAAAAGAATAATTAATTTTTTATTAAAATTATGAATTATTAAAATAAGCCTTAATTTTTCACAAGGCAAGTAACTATATTTGTTAAATTAATAACTTGCACATCGTAATTGAAATCCATTCCAAACAACACTACTTGGAATATTTTTACTTTTATGACAAATTAAAATTGCACCCCCTCATCTTTCTATTAATTTTAACATTATTGGAGAGAGATTACATGTTATTGAAAAACACAAAAAAGAGGTCTAAATATTTTACAGAGAGTAAACGCCACGTCCTAGTACTAATACATCAAAATAAGAATAGTATTAGTATTAGTATTAGTATTAGTATTAGTCCCCGATATGAAGAAATTTTTCTCCACAATAATTCTACAACCAACCACAAAACTGAAATGCCCGCCATTGAAAAATTGCTTCACTCACGTTGCTTCATAAGTCAATTCAGTGGTTGATTCTGTATCTGTAGAATTATTATTGTTTTCTCTAACAAGTAGCTTCGCATGTTTTCTCCGGGAAAAGTATTTTCCTTAATCATCATTGTTCAGAAACAATGGATCTCTCTTCCTCCTCTTTGATATTGTTGATCAAAAGAGCAATTTGGTTTAAGCTAGGCCTAGCCTCCGGTGAACGATCAACACATTTTACGGCTATTTGTAGCAAGTTCAGCATGCTCTCTTCACTTGCACCTTCTTGAATTAGGGTTTTGTCGAAGACCTCAACGGTCCACTCTTCTTGAACCACAGACAAAACCCATTGGGCCAAGGCCAACCCATTGTTCTGAACCATCTTTCCTGTTAGCAGCTCAAGAAGAATCACACCGAGACCATAAATGTCTGACTTGAAGGCATTGCTTGGTCCAACCTGTCTATTAAAACTGGCAACCGATGACTGATCTTCATCGTTCACCATCATTAGACCGTACTCACTAATGCATGGTTCCATGTTTCGGGTTAGCAGAATGTTTGAGGACTTCAGGTTTCCGTGAGCAATCCCGTCTTCGCGAAGCTCTTGATGCATAAAAGCTAAGGCCTCGGCTATGGTAGCTGCAACACCAAGTCTGCCACTCCAGTCAAGGACTTGGCCCATTTGTGTTCCTGAAATCCATATGTAGATAAATGCAGGGCCATATGATTACTGCAGGAATACATTTAGTTAATGAGTTTGCTCTGCAGCAAAATTTTCATCTTTCTTTTCTTTTCTATGCCTCTCTCTTATGAGTGGATGTTGTTCTTTACAGCTGTGTTTGGATCTGCAATCTCTTTTCCCTTCACAAATCTAACGCTCTATTTGTTTCAGTAGAAAACATCTGTTTCAGAGGAAAATGTTGGTGGTGGTGGTGGAGTGAAGGTGGTGGTGGTGACGATGGTGTGGTGGTGGCAGTGGAGGTGTGGTGGTGGCGGCAGTGGAAGTGTGGTGGCACTGATAAGAGTTTAGTTCATAAAACGTTTTTCACATATTAAAAGTGAAAAGCATTTTTCGCCTAAATAGCATTTTTGCCATAAGCATGAAAAACGTTTTCTTTCATACCAAAAGCCATAAATTACGGAAAACATTTTTTGCCCAAACAAACTGAGTGTAAGATTCAAACACAGCCTGCCCATGTGCATGTGTAGATATGTTACCAAAATTAATGCCTTTCTTGTGCCAAAGATTAAAGTTGCTTGAAGATGATGAGGGAATAAAAATTACCATGGAGAAGCCTGAATAGACTTCCATTCTCTTGATATTGATATACCAAAAGCTTCTCTTTTGGGGAACAATAGAAGGCAACAGCTGACAATACATTTGGATGCTTCACTTGGCCCAACCTCTGCATCCTCTGCTTGAACTCGTTGCTCGAAATCATCCAATCCCTAATCCTCTTGACAGCCAGAGGCATCCCTTGCTCGCCAACAACCTTGTAGACAGTACCGTGCCTTCCTCTCCCAATCAACTCAGCTGGAGCCTTGAGCAAATCATCGAATTTCAATCCGTTCACCTCTGGACTCGTGAGAATTACCAGCGACGATGAAACCATCCCACTTTCAGCTGAAATTCCTGATTTGTTCATACCTGCTTTATTCTCACCTGATGCAGTTCTTGGATCGTAGAAACTATCATCAACTGATGCTACCTTGTTGACTGAATCAGCAGACCTCTCTTCTTTTGTCTTGCCTCTCTTACACAGCTTGACAACGATTATAACGAACAAAGCCAACCCTATGAGTAAGTAACCTACAAACATTATACCTATATCTGTTGAGATTTTCTTGGATTTCTTCTTTGGCTGTTGATCGGAGTCTGGTGAGGTTAATGATGCTGATGGGCATTGTTTTGGCAGTGGAGGTCCACATAATTCAGGGTTCATGATGAAACTGCTTACAGGTAAACCCTTGCCGCCAAATGGAATATGACCGGTGAAATTGTTGAAGGAAATATTGAAGTACATGAAGTTCTGAAAATCAAATTTTGGTATAGGACCGGTGAGCTGATTATGCTGAGCACGAAATTCTTGCAAACCAGATATCCAAGCCAAATCAGGCAAATTACCAGAGAAGTTATTCTGCCATATGTCGAGTCCAATCAGATTATTTAGCATGGAAAGAGAATCGGGAAGGCTACCTGAGAACCTGTTCCCACCTAAATTGAGATGGGTGAGTTGTCTGCAACTTGCAATCTGATCAAGGTTCTCTCCACCAAGACTGTTGTTACTGAGACCAAGAATAGTAAGAGATGTGGCAATAGATTGAACATTGCAAATAGTGCTAGCATCGAAAGTTCCGGTAAAACCTAAGCCACCAAGGTCGATTTTCTTCACAGAAAGAGCCTGCTCATCACAATATACACCAAACCATGAATCCTTGCAAGGATCAGAGGTCATATTCCAACCTAAAATACTATCAGATGGCCTACTGTTGTTTGAGAGTTTTCTGTAAAAAATCATCAATGAGTTTCTGATTTCTACCATGTTGGATTTCGTTGTGTGGAGGAGGAGAGAGAACAAAATCAAGGCTACCCAGATAGAGATTCTATTCATTTTGGATAATGAGAAAAGGATTGATGCAGGTAGGTAAGCAAATATGTTGCAATTTTGAGGAAGTGAGAGTTCTAGTACTATTTGTTCAGAGTGCTTGTGATTGTGGAAGGAGGAGAATATCCCAATGTTCATATTATGGTGGGGAATTTGTTATTTTGCCAAATGGCGGACTTCACAAGGATAATTTGTACCATAATGACATTGATCGTCCCTAAGAGTTAAATAATAAGCCATTGGATGTAAGTAATCACTGGAATTAGGGGGGCGGCAATTACAAACAGATGAGATGGGATTGTCATGTCCTCAGCAGTGGTGTTTTTCAAGAATCATGGACTAAGTTTTAAGGACTCTTTCAAATTTGTAAAATATTTTGGCAAGTTTCGTCGGACACTTTCACAGTTAAGTAATAGTCTGAGATATGTGTTTGATATTGCCTAAATGTGCATACACCCACCCAAGCGTGTATAACGAGTCTACCACATAACTAAAATGTTATATTTTAATGTAAATATTATTTTACACTTCAAAAATAAAGAGGATTTAAGAAATATGAAATCTAGGTGTCTTAGTATATCCTTAGCTTGAGAATTAGATAAATGTACTTTAACAGATGCCTGCATCAGACACCCCTAGCACCTGAATTCATGTATGATGTAGCATAAATACATATAGTCATGAAATCGACCAAACTTCTTCGGTATTTAGATGGTATATGTAGAAATATAATGTAAAGAGAAATAGAGAATTGTATAGATACTGATTGTATTATTAATTTTTGATATGTTACAATGATTCCTATATATAGAAGAGTAGGTGGTAGTAGGTGGTAGGTGGAGTAGGTGAAGTGGAGGTGGTAGTGGTGTAGTGGGTTAGGTTTAGTGGAGTAGGTGAGGTGGTAGTGGTGTAGTGGGTGGATTTTAACAGCCCCCGCAAACTCAAGGGGGATAGGAACTAACCAACTTGAGTTTGGAGAGAATAACAAAACAAGAAAATACACGAATACATAAAAGAAAAGAGGATAGGAGACACTGTATGGTCGTGTCAGACCGATGGTGAATACACTGTATGGTGGTGTCATAACGTTGTAGAGGACACTGGATGGTTGTGTCAGACCGATGTAGAAGACAGTTTATGGGGTCATGTCGGACCGTTGTAGCAGACAATGTTGTGATAGTTGTTGTGACAGTTTACGGAGTCTTGCTGGACCCTTGTAGAAACTAACCGGAATCTATGTCGGGACAGTTTACAGAGTCTTGTCGGACCCATAAAGGAGCTAACCGGAATTAATGTCGGGACAGTTTATAGGGTCATGTTAGACCGTTGTAGAAGTTGCACCTTCAAAAGGTGTGCCCAATTTTGTCAAAAGGCGTGCCATCAAAAGGCGTGCCCAATTCATCAAAAGGTGTGCCGGACATGATGGCGAGGCACGTGGGCGCCTTGGCTTGCGCGCCCGTTTTGTCGTCTGGTGGTGGCAAGAGGCGCGCGATGCGCGTGGCTGCCTCGGCTATTTAACCAAGACGGAGGCTGAGGCAGACAAAAAACTTCTGAAAATCCTCTGAAACAAACTCTTCCTTTGCTGAGAAACTCTGTAATACTCTGTAACCAACTCGTCTCTGAAACACTTAGCAACATGGCCTCTTCTTCCCGTTCAGCTACCCAGAATATGGTATCTTCATCCCGTGGTCTACTCACTCTCTTTCCCGACCTCAACGAGTCAACAAGAGAGATAACTGGTGCGGAGGCCCGTGAACCTCAACCCAACACCTCTGTGTTTGCTCCGTTGAACTTTCCGATGCGGTCGGTGGAGCAAAAAATGGCGGTGCAAACTGATATTGAGGCCAATCAGTATACTCTGAAGTCATGTGTGGAAACCATGACTGCCGTCACAAACTTGTCACACCGGCTGCAGAGCAGGACAAATGAGGTGCAACAGTTAAACTCCCAACTGGCTCTGCTCCAACGCATGTATAAGGATGCGCGAGCAGAGTTAAGTGTGCTAAAGGCGGAAAATAAGGAGTTGAAGCGGAAGGCCACTGTTATGTTCCGATTTGGAGGTCCGCCATATGCTGTAGTGGAGGAGCAGGGAGGAGTGAACGTGCTCGGTGGCGTGAGAAACACGGAGGCAGCACCGTCAAGGACCGCCCAGAACGGAGGCAAAAAGAAGAGACCGGCGGCAGAGTAGAGAAGAAAAATCTCGCCTGTGGATGTGGTTGTTTGTGTGGGTTGTTGTGTTTTTTTTTTTTTTTTTTTTAAAAAAAGGTTTTTTTTTTTTTTTTTTTTTTTTTTTTTTTTTTTTTTTGTGTGTGGAATGAAAATAAAAGAAAATTTGGAAAAATCAAAAGTGGTTGGAATGGACATATAGATAGATATATATAGAAAATAAAAGATAGTTGAGGAGAGGGAGGTAACCCGGAGTAATAATAATAATAATAAAATGGGTATCTTGGAGTGTCCAATTGCAAGCAATTTACCATCCTTCGGTTTGGTTGCCCTTATATATTCCAGCGCGGCAGAAATGTCCTCTTCCAGGTAGTGATCAAAGTCCCAATCATACTGGACCATTAAGTCAAGTTGCTTCTGGAAATCTTCAATTGTTGTGAAAAACTGCTCTTGTAGATTAAACAACTGAGGTGAAACAGAACGCTGACTTTCTTCAATAATATTTACAAGCTTTTGACTCAGATCCCTGATTTGGCTAGCCACAGCAGAAGTTTGCCTTGCTTCTAACAAACTTGGAAGTTTTCCTCTTATCTCGTTAAAGCGTTCATATAGAAAAAAGTCCTCCAAGAGTCTTGATATTTGATCGAAAAGTTTTGCATACATAATTTTTGATTGGCCTTCACTGAGAAAGCCAGAGAGTCTTTCCGACAGACGCATAAAAGTTTCTGTCAACTCTGTCACTAGTCTTGATTCATCCCATACAGTTGCCATCCCTGTTGGGTCCCCTTTGACAACAGAGATATCAGAGTCTGCCTTTGCACTGGAGATATTGGTTGACTGCTGTTCTGCAGGAAAAACTCCATCAGTTGCAGTCACAGCAGTAGCTTCCATCATATCAGATATTGTATGGGCAGACTTTAAAAATATGAAATATATTTGACCATACTTAAAAATTTACAAAAATTGATCAATATTTATTTTTAACCCAATAAATATGATCTTGGAAAAAAAATATGCGTATCGGTAAGTTTTTTTTAAATTGTGCGAAAAATAAAAAAATTCACAGTTCCGATTACCGCAACCGTTACACTACAGCCTTTACACCCCGCAATCGCAACCGCGTTACCGCCACCGTTACGGCGACTGCAACCGCTTTTCAAAACCTTGCATGTAGCATAAATACATATAGTCATGAAATCGACCAAACTTCTTCGGTATTTAGATGGTATATTTACAACTGATGATATGACAGGAATTAATCAGATCAAATAGGTTCAAATTTCAGGCGAAGATATATACTCAAACCTCACACAACTTCATTGAAGATTCAGATGGATGAAAATTCCACCTAGCTCATGCAATGCATTTTTTATTCTTGTCCTTTGCTTTCTCTCTGCCGCTGCAACTGTTAAAAGCATGAAAGCATTCACATTATAAAGAATTTATTCATTCCAATAGCTATCAGTAATACCTAAATTAATATAACCAAAACACCCTCACTGAAAGACGTATCAGTCCACTTTTAAGGTTAAAAAAAATACGAGTTTTAAAAACCCAAACATGTGACAACTCATGACTCAGAAGCTGAAATCAACATATAAGTTGTAACGTCTCCTGGAATATTCCCAATTGTTAACATGCCTCTTATCATCCAATGGGTTGGCTTTTGGATGAGCCCTCATGGACATGATGTCCTGATTTAATTCTCACTACCATGCAATGTAACTTATCTTTCTCCTATTTTCCACCTATCAATTGTAAAAAAAATTAACATTAAACATCAAAAAGCAGAATGAGGAAAGAAAAAAAAAATAAGGCCACGTTTGGCATGTGAGAGTGTTAGTCTAAAAGCCAAAAAATTACTAAAACAATCAAAAAGTTTATAACCTATACCAAAAAATCAAAGATTCCTTTTTCTATCTACTTTTTGCATATCTTTTCATAAAAATCAAAAGTAATTCCAAACATACTAATTTTTTTTACCTCATATTTTAGTCAAAAAGCAAAAAAATTACTAAAATAGCCTGTTCCCCAACGAGGCCTTACTAGTTGAAAATTTTCATTTTGTGCACGAGCATTTTCCAAGTCACTTCCCAAATCATAACGTTAGCTTGTATAATTCTTCATATTTCTGTCATCTTGCTTACAATACTTACAAGACTCACCAAGTTCGTTTGAGAATCAGTGAGTGATCTGGAGCTTGACACCAGTCTGATGTGTTTTAAAGAGGAACCCTGCTTTACTGGCTTGCCAAAGAAATCATTAAACAAAAAACAAATTCACACAATAATCAGACCATTTGGCAACACAAATAATCAGAGTAACAGATCACAAGAGAACGAATAAAAACAATATCTTCATTTCTATTCTTCTTTGAACGAATGTGCCAGCATAAATATGGATTTGATACACATGCATGGTATCTTGTACCCAAGTATCATTTTACAAACAATTAACATAATGTCATACATTTGAGTTAAAAATCAATATGCAAACATGAGATGAATTTGGTATGTTGAAGTCCGGGCCATTCATCCCTTTAAGGGTCTGCCTTTCCAGCAACATCATCTTCGCTAGACACACTTCGTCCATCACTGATATCCCCGTCACTTAACTCCTCGTCACTCTCTTCTATCAGAGTGCTGGTGATATTCTCCTTCTTTGCATAACGTTCACAATACTCTGCTGTCACAAGTAGATAGTCAGAAATACATTTTTCATTATTAACAGCTTAATGCTATCACTTGAACCCAAAAGGCCTATAACACCTTCAATTCCTCCATGTGTTCTGCTAAAAGAAAAAAAAAATTCCACAATTACAAAATAATAATGATATACAAATAACAAAATAAAAGGCATATGTAAGGATTTTTTTGTGGTGCTGGTCATCAAATAGATAAATTCCTAAGCTGCCATCTCCAATTTTGAAGTGTAGGCCAGAGCCCCTTAAAAGGAAACCAACTGAAGTAAACATATAAAATAAACAAATAAAATCCTCTCAAATTACTTCATAAAGAACCTCACACAGTCACAATTTATTACAGTATTGAAGCCAAGCTATACGTAAGAAAAAAAATAGACGAGAAATTTCACCTTTCACTTTCTGTTCATATTGTTTCTGATCCTTCATCATCAGCGATGCTGCATCACCATTTAGTGGATCTGAAGGATTTGGGTAAAGCAAAAGCTGTGGAAGAAAAACCTCAAACACATTGAGCAGATCTGTAGCCCAGAATAGACAGTGTAAGATATTGAAAGACTTCTTTTTTTTGGTCTGAAAAGACCCCTAATGAAGATCAAGCATATACAACAAACAAACATAATCAATGACATTTCCAATTAGTTAATATCAGTCGTCTTTGTTTTGTACTAACAATTTTTTAAGCGCCTGCTCTTTAGGTACGGTCGATCAGCAAAAGACCAAGACCTAAATAATAGGCCCAACATTAAGCGATATGTTAAGATATCAGGATGTTAAGATATAACATCAAGCGATATGTTAAGATATAAAAATAATTACCAAACATTGGACTCCATGATTGGTTAATTACATCCAAGCATACGGAACCAGACCTGCAGTGGATCAAAAGCCTTCCAGTCAGTAAATAACAACTTTCCCAACCAAAAATGTTTCAGAAGACTCGTAATAGACAGACTCAAAAAAGCAGTACAACAATAGCTGCTTGTTTAATGAATATAGCTTGCATGCGAGCTATGTAAGGGTGTGAGAAGACTCACAGCTCATCGACATTTGGGTGGTATATTTTGTTCAGAAACCCAATGGAAGGAGACTTGTATGGGTAAGCATCCGGCAGCTCAACACGAACTTTCCAGACACCACCTTCATAAAGGCCTGCAACCATTGAGATACCACCAATAAGATGTAATCAGAAACAGGAGTTACTGGGACCTCCAAAATATATGGTACTAATAGGTCTGTAGGCAGAGAAATCTCAGGCGAAAAAGAAACAACGAAGCACAACTTGACAACAATATCATGGCAAGACTAGATAACTTGTTGATGAGTGCGAGAAAAAAGAAACATGAAATTTCTTTCTTGTTATGGCAACAAATTTAGCATCACCTGCGACATGCACACACACACGCATTTGAACTTTGTTCCACAAGTTCTAAAACATCTGCTGACACCAGCTATTTGAGGGGGTTCTGTACTTTAGTAATAAGCTATAGATATCAATAAGTAGAAACAAAGTGATTAACAGGACTCCTAGCCTGCCATGCTCAAATATAATGACAAAAACCAATCTCTCAAAACATTCTTACATGTCTAGTAATCAATCTCAGACAAAATCTTGATTTGACAAAAGAAGGCAAAGAAGGTGGAATTGCAAAATGATGAGGAATCACATAAGACGCATATCTACATCAACTTAGGTAAGCAAGAAAATTTAAAGGAACAAGGGCAGCAAGAGAGAGATTGAGGCTGTTTCTGCACTCTGTGCTTTTAAAGATTCCACTTAGTACAATTCTACAAATGAGGAAACTTATTTTTGTCTAAAACAAAAATTACGTTTTAGCAACGAAATATTGCAAAATCAACTCTATGCGTATATAGCTTGTAGCAGAAAACAACCAAACACATTCTTTATCCCTTTAAAAGAAATCTTAGTATTCAAAATACTTGTATTGCACATGGAAAACTGACCTAGTGTTTAGAATCAAGCAAAAAAGGGGACTGGATGGTTGGGTTTAATAAAGGAAAAAAGGAAAGGTTGGACCTTCCAGTTCCTTCAAAGCTATGAAACATACCTTAAATGCAAATCTAAAAGTGTTGAAAGCCAACAGTCTATAATCTTGACAATCAGTAGAATCTATCTTTTAAATCAGGCATATAACTTGAATTGGACAGCAAAGGCATAAATAGCAAACCATGTTCTCCAACTCAAAACCTAATAACCATTCAAGTTTTGAAGTAGTAAAAAGCAATGAGAGAGAGCATCTGTGGGAACAATTGTTAAGGTCATATTTCAATAAGACTATAGCATGGAAAGAGTAGAAACATTACTTTCTTTTGGACCATGGAATTCAACATTGAATTCACTAATTCCATCATTTATTGGCTCCACAGCATAGTCACTCATCATCCTATAACATTAACACAGCAGATCAGTAATAAAATTAAAAAGGTTAGGATCCACAAATTTGATTTCATGGAGATTGCAATAGGAAAAACCAGAAAGCAGAAGTATCCAAATTTCCAAAACGCAAACTGAAAAGCCAACGCATACATGAAGTCAATATACCACTAGTTATAACTATAGAATTTTGGATATATGAAACAGAGATGTACATAGGATTTTTGTTTTGTACACAAAGCCAAAGATTTTCGTTACATTTATATTTATTTACAACTATAGCATAAATTATGTCAGCAAAGTAGAAACATAAAAAGCAACAAGCCTGAAACTAAAGCAGCATCTTACTCAAAAACCTTACAATTTCATGACATCCATATCTCTCCTCTTGCTTGGAGAAGACATCTTAATCTAAAAATTTTATGTATTTACCACCCTGCCAAATTCATAATAAAAGAAAACAGACGTAAGCACATGAAAGTTCATTCCCAATAGGCAGGTCCATTAAAAAATCAAATTCAAACATATAACAACAACAACAAAAAATTACAGAAAGTGAACAATTAAAATGTGCTATGGCAAGATCAAAAGATGGTATGCAGTAACTTGAGAGAAGTAACCAAAATAAATATCACAAATTGGTATGCAATAACTTTAGAGAAGAAAACAACATAAATATCACAAATCCTACAAGTCGACGCCAAAAGGGCCCAACTATGGCAGGATATACAGCTCTGAAATTCACTTCTAGAAAAGCCCTCTTCATCCCCAATTTAGTTTCCTGGTGCCTAGATTGAGACCATTATCCATTTATATAAATATGGTCCTTGCTATAACTCTTTTAACCAATTGTCATACAAGTCCAAAAATGAATATGCTCTAAAAATATACAAAATTTTCTTATGAAATGTGTTTTGTGAACTGATTCATATCTGTCTTGCTAGTGAAAACAATTATTAGTGTTTCCACTAAAAATTCTTAGCATATAAATTCTCTGCAAGGGTTTTCCACTCAAAAACTTTGCATTCAAGTTAATACCAAAATTCAAAGTAAATTATCATGGAACCCTGAATCCAATCTCTAATGGCGATGTTCATCAAAATTACTGAGTAAAAAAGCAAGTTCTTCCATTGGAAATTACATTCAAGTCAACTAAAACAACAATCAATAACACAAACCCAAGGCAATCAAAAACTGCAATATGAGACCACACGTTTACAAAAGGAAAAATAAAAATACATAAATGTGGAATTTAGAGGCCACGTGAAGTAAAAAAAACAATTTAATCAAACAAAAATGGGGCGAGATTGAGGAGATTTAACAAATTCATGAGGATTGGCTCCGAGAACCATCTAATTACGAGAACATTAGAACGAAACAAGAAGAATATAATGAAGCGCGAAAGAAAGAAAGAAAGAAAGAAACCGTAAAAAATGAGAAAAAGTGTAGGATCAGAGAGTCGATCGCCGGTGCGTGGTGTTTACGGTGAAGAATAAGTCTTTTTTGTTGGCCGTCGAAAAGACAATGATCGAGAGGGAATACAAAGCTTGAAAGGACGGAACAAGAAGGATGGGGAAAGTGTGTTGTGTCGTGTATGATATGGGTGGTGGGAAGATGTGTTGTCGACATGGTTACCTTAGACCGCACGTGCAAAGTGTGAGTGACAATATATATATATATACAGTAGCGGGTGCAATTTAGATAAATAATATTATATATGCAATGGTAAAAGATTTTTTTGTTTTAATGAAAACCAAAGTCTTATATTCAAATCTTATTCACACCTTTGGATAATATTTTTTTATTTTAGAATAGAAAAATTTGTTATGTGATAGAAAGAGAAATCACTGCACTCTTAGATACCAAGTCAGTGCTCGCCTATATAATAGTATGGATATTTTTTTTTTTTGTTTGAACACAGGTGACAGTTTATATTATACATGGCATCTTCTGCATAATTTTTTAAATTTTTATTTTGTGAATGCAAAAAAAAAAAAAAAAACTCTGTGACTATAGTATTTGTGGATCTTAGTCAATGTGGTTTTCAGCGAGTAAGGGTATAAATTTAGCTCAACCGACCCATTGTCCGGCCATGCAATTTCACGCCAAAATTCGGTGCAAGTGGGACGAGGTGGCCCACGAGCCAAAAATTAGGCCCAACTCTAAGAGGTACTCAGGCTTGGACGAAGCCTAACCATTTTTTTCCAACAAAAATGACATTGGCCTCAGGTCAGGACTTGAGTGGCCCAATGGACTGGGCCTCAGAAAAATGATCTGGGCCCAAGCCTAATGTCTCGGGCTAGGCTGGGCCCCACACCAAGTTGCGGGCGGGCTTTCGAAGTGGATTGCAAGCTGGTGGGCCAAAAATTTACACTCCTATCAGCCAAATTTTGTTAGAAATGTTTTGAAAAAATCTAGGTAAAAACAGCATTTTTTCTTAACTTTGGTCTATATTCTATGTGGGACCCATGCACCAAAGTTGGCGGGTCAAGGTGGTAACGCATTCTATACTGCGTTGCGATTCACGTGATATATTTGGTTACTCAAAATCATTATCAGGTGAATGGAAAATTGAAGCCAAAGTGTGCTCTATAGAAATGGAGTTTTGGTGGAAAATCCTTAAAGGTTTGAATAAAGGCTTGTCCCACATTGGTTTGGTGGGAAGAAAATTATGGGTTTATATAGCTAGGAATTATAACTTGGGAAAGGCCCCAAGGGGCACCCAAAGTTTGTAGAAGGGAGAGGTTATAGGCAAATTGGGCTAGAACTATTGAACCCAAAAATAACCACACGCACATCGTTGCCCGTTCGGTCGAGCTAGGCCTAGGCTTGGGTTGTCCAACCCAATACTTATCTTTTTAGGCAAAAAACGTTTGAATTCAATTTTATTTTTTGGTAAAATAAAATCTGTACAAATTTCAATTTCAATTTTCAAATTCAAATTTGTTACACCTCTTCAGAATTTTGTACAGGTTCAAATAGATTCGAATCTGTCTAGATTCAAACCCAATTCGATTTTATCTGTTCAAAATTTGAACCCAACAAATTTGTATCTGTTTATTCAAACTGAACATGTATCATACATGTTCAAACAGGTTTTACACCTGTTTAATTCAAACCTAACAGCCATAAATTCTCTTATAAATAAACAAATCTCTCATTTGTTTTTTCACTCCAATTTTCATCCTTAAATCTGCTACTGCTCTCTGCATTTTGCTGCATCTAAATTTCTATGAGAAAGAGTATAAAAAACTTAGTGTGTTTGTTGTACAAAAAATTTGTAGTGCTGCTATTTTTCATTAATTAATCATTTTGTTCTGGAAGATAGACGTCCATATTCTCTAAGTACCGTGGAGAGGACAAATCTGTTTTAAGGACACAGTGTCTAACACTGGACTTGATCAGTATATTGTTCAAGAAATTAATCAAGTAAGTTAATTTATTTTATTTTTTATTTATTTATTTAAATCAGATTTTGATTTTATTTTTGTAACAAAATAAAAATATGTTTTTATTTATTTATTTATTTATTTTTATTTATTGGTTTATTTTTGTAATCAAACAATTCTCTCATTTTCCTATTTTTCTTTTGTATTTTATTTGTAGTTTAATACACAAACATAATTTATTTATTTAAATACAATGAAAATTGCTCAACAAATTTAACCCAACTCATAAAAAAAAAAATTCCACCATCGAGGCACCATATGAACCTTATCCACGCACTACAGAAGAGGCCAAGTTTCGATCATAATACAGTGCAAAATCTTCATAGAGAGAGCGCCTTCTAGGATTCAATCATGACTCACCTCTGTAGAACAGAATGCATTGTCCACAAGGCCACCACCCTATAATCACGTTATCTATGAAGCCACATAAAATGTACTGTATAAATTTTTGTGATACATATCTACACTATACTATACTATACTATATACTATACTATATCTAGAAGCAAATATAGCGGAGTATGATAATTCTTCAAATTCTTAATACTAAATTCTTATGGATTATCTCTCTTACGTGTCACCTCTCAAGTCTCCCCTCCTACTTTTCCTAATTTTTAATCATTGTCAATTATCTAAATCTCAATATCTAAAAGGATTATATATATTTAAATAAAAGGATAAATATTTAGATATGAACAACAAAGAGATAGAGATAGAGATAGAAAAAAATAAAATGATAACTATTCAAATTCCAATCACAAAATAATATAAAGAGTCAAATAAAAGATTAAAAAATAACTAAATAAAAAATATTATGAGTCAATGAATTTTAAAAATAAAAAGTTAACTATTTATATATGAGCAACTAAAAAATATTTACATAAAAAAATATTACAAGTCAAATAAATTTTAAAATAAAAAGTTAATTATTTATATATGAACAAAAAAAGAATAAAGATAAAAATATATAATTTTATAATCAATGTTTCAAGTGACAAATTTATGGAAAAAAAATGAATGCATGAATTTAGGTATGAGATAGTTATCATGTTCAAAATATTTGTTAGTTATAACTCCCTCTTATATTTTAAATTTATAAGAATTTTTTATTTTATAATACAAAAATGACTATAATAAATTATTTAAATTATGTATTTTCGTGCATAGTATGAGTTGTTGCTAGTTAATTATATATATATATATATATATATATGTTTATTGATTTGTTTAATAGACAAGTTTTAATTAATTAAATCATGTATTCTCGTGCATAGCACGGGTTGTGACTAGTTCCTTATATAAAGTAATTGTAAAATTAAGCCACTAGGACAAACTATTAAGAAAGGGCACAAAATTCTCCATATATATTTTTTGTTTCTTTATTCTTATCAATTGATTGTGCCACTAAATTTATGCAATTGAAGATTATCACCACGTTATACTTTTTTTCTTCTCTATTTTTTTTTTAAATTTTTTTTCCCCAATTTGAGGCACAGCACACTTATTTTTTATTCCACTGAGAAAACTAGTAATTTTGGATAGAGAGAATCACTAGCCATATAGATGAAGGTTTAATCCATTTTTAAAGATTAAATGTTGGGTAATGTTGACAATGCCAATATTAGCACGATGCAATGCACCTCTAAGGATTGTCATCATAATAGAACACTCATAACCAACACATCCAGAGCATCAACACCACCATTGGGCTATGCCCCTGTAATTCATTCAACTATCAAGCTACAGAGCAATAAAGCAATTCAGCAATGGAAGAACATGTGATATTAAAAATAAATAAAAAAACTTGAAAGAAAATAGAACTCCGTCTAACAAAGCTAAAAGAATTATTTTTGAATTACCTCATTGTTACAGGTTAAGAGTAGGTAGTGCAGTACTTGGACCATAACTAATAGTTTTGACTTTGAATTCTCTCACAAAAGTCAGAGAGAAAGAAACTAATGGCGCTAAAATAGAGCCAAACACATAGAAGAGTAACGTCACAAGAAGTTTTCTCATTGCTTAGAGAACACTGGTATTTTCAGTTTCCTGCATGCATATAGCAATAAAACAAATATATAGTGGTCAGTTTTTGCACTCATATTTGAAATCTTTCTACTTGCCATTCCAATCATCTATTTAAAAAGATCAACAAAGAACTTTAAGTCAACTACTCAAACAAGGAGCTTCAAGAGACATCACTGTTTTATTTGAACTGTCATATCAAATATTAAGGTAATATGGTAATCATTTATATTAACTCTTTGTATGGACATAATCCCAGTCTTTGGTTCTCAGAGCAGCAGATTGCTCCAACCGACCTGGTTTGTTACCAATCTTCATATTTAAAATAAACAGACATGGTCTAGAACCAATGACCTTATTTTTAACCCCCCCCAAAAAAAAAGTTTTGTTGTCAAGAACTAGCATCCTTCATTTTTTGCTCAAATGATATCCCCGAGGGGCAAAATCAAGTAAAACTTAGTGGTTAAACTCCACCATCAACAACCATTTAGAACTTCTCTCCATAATAATAAGCAGAGCCAACCATCAATGCAACAGTGGCACCTTGGACAACCACACGAGCTCTCATCAGCTGCTGACCCAAGTGAGAATTCCCCTGTCTGAAACTGATTAACCCAGCCGTGAGGACCCCAGCAGTTATAAATGCACCTGAAATAGAAAAGGTCATGATATGTATTCAGCCACGGCAAATAAAAAACAGATTTAATTAGAAACTTCTCAATTTTATGTCCTCCCACAGTTAGACGTTCTGATCACAAGGAACTAATCAACCCACACCCAAAATTAAATAGACTACATCATCTTGTTTAGATGGTCAGGAAATAAGCATCAACGTCACACTAGTTCCCCCTAGATTTTTTGTTTTTTCATTTTCATATTTTATGCAATAAGACTCTCAAGGGTGAGAAACTTTAAACCAACCACTAACACATCCAACTCACTACATCTCAACCACCTTCACCATTCCTCCACCACAACCAACCTGCCACCAGAAATGCACTGCTGTTACCATAAACAATGCAGCCATGCAGAACATGTTACATTCATCAGAAAGAGAAAAATTAGAAGTGGCTGCTCCTTTTTTCTTTCTTTTTTTTTATTTTTAAAATAGGTATTATGTGGCTGCTCCATCTACACACACCATTTCCTAGGATACAAGGATATGGCTCGGTTGCAAGACTGATCCTTTATTCGTTCTCCTGGGAAAAATAAAGTTTCTATTTGACAAAGCATGTTTAATTGGGTACTTCACTCGTGATGAATAACAATGAGTAAATGAGAGATAGAAACCAATTTAAGTAACTTTAAAATACATCTGCAAAATCCAGAATATTTTCTTCTCTTTCGTTGTAAGATAATCCATCGAATATTAACCTAAGTTTTCCCCACACATATACCATATTCATGCCCATTTCCATGCCTATTATGTATGCCATACAGTGTCCAGCATAAGGATACAAGGATATGGCTCGGTTGCAAGACTGATCCTTTATTCGTTCTCCTGGGAAAAATAAAGTTTGTATTTGACAAAGCATGTTTAATTGGGTACTTCACTCGTGATTAATAACAATGAGTAAATGAGAGATAGAAACCAATTTAAGTAACTTTAAAATACATCTGCAAAATCCAGAATATTTTCTTCTCTTTTGTTGTAAGATAATCCATCGAATATTAACCTAAGTTTTCCCCACACATATACCATATTCATGCCCATTTCCATGCCTATTATGTATGCCATACAGTGTCCAGCATAGAAACTTCAGATTTCTTGAAGTACTTACATAATAAAGGGGTGCAAACATAAAAATCGCTATTACCCAACTAGCATCATCATAACCGCAACACAAGACAATGCTTTTGCAACTACTGCACATGTATAATAACTCCATGCATCTGCTACAAACCAGACCAAGTCCTCTAGAAAATGAACTCTATCACTGCCACAACCACCTCTCCTCACCAACACTGCCAAATGTTCCATCACCACCTCTCATAATGCCATGATCACCGAATCACCAAACACACCTCGAGTACAACCTTCTTCACCGTCACCAAAACACCAGATTTATTATACTTGGACAAAACAACCAAAATTTTTGTTTCAACAAAGTTTGATATAAAAAGGAACTCAAATTATGTTCGGCGCTAAACCTAATGAACAAAAATGCGACTGAGCACATATAGCCTTGATAGAGCAGAATGACACATAAAGATTCATGTAGCTCATCCCATCTAATTTGGAACTTGGTTTGTTTTGGTTACTAAACATCAAACCAATTCCATATTCTCTTGTTCACACAAACTCTAATATCCCAACCATACATATACATTCATGGACGGGCTCATCACTCCGATGACAAAGACATACACCATGTTTTCTTCCATTAAGCCTAGGTATAGGCTGCAATTAAATCCAATACATTCAAACCACATAGTTCTACCAGATTAGTTTGTTGCAAACTTGTAAAAAATGAGATCCCCCCCCCCCCCCAAAAAAAAAAAAATTTAAAAAAAGTAAAAAAAAAATTTATTTTTTTTAAATTTTTTTTTTTTTTACCCCCCCCCCCCCCCCCCCAAAAAAAAAAAAAAAAAAACTAAGAACAATTGATTACTGTAGAATATTTAGAGTAAATTCATGCAAGCAATACAGTTTTCAGAGTGATTTCACAAAAATAAAAGTAAAATAAGAAGAAATAAGCAGAATGTTTGACAAGGAGACCCAAACCACTAGGTTTTCAAATTTATTAAAGAAACTCAATACAATCCCAAGAAATTCAACTCATAAACACCCACATTTTGTAAATAGATCCATAAGATTAACAGAGACTTCATTTCTACAAATCCATACAATAAATTTACAAGATACACATGTTGTGTGTGTTCGTATGTATAGAAGGGAGATTAAGGAGATACCAATGGGGACGAGAGGGTTTTTGACTCGCTTCTTTCCTTGAAACAGTTCGTCCAGTTCTGGATTGGTAGCTCCCATCTTTTCCATACGCCAGAAAGAGTGGCAGAGACGAGTCTGCTTCGAGTATAGCACGCATGTGCTGTGCCCGATGCTTGTGGTGGTGGTGATGACCCGATTACTCCATGAAATATTTTCTTCGGTGGCTGCACTTTAGACCCTTTACTTCTACCAATTGCAGAATCATTCAAATTTCTCATTTATTTTCTAGCCCTAACCCCCTTCTTTGACTCTATTTTCTAACCGTGCCCCCTCCTTTTGTAACCATTACTATTCAATTTTATTGACTCTTTTTTTCCATAAAAAAATTCAGTTTTAATACTCTAATATTAATATCAAATCAATATTAAATTAAGAATGTCTTAAATTTTTTATCAAATTGAGAATGATTAGAGTTTTTCATCAAATTACTGTACATAATCATTAGCTTTGTAAGTATACAGAGCATTGAACAACTAGTCGGTTGTCCGGCCGATTTATCTCCTAAACATTCACTTCCTTGCAATTTACTGTAGAAAGTCTGTTTCAAAATTTTGACAATTTAAACTGATTGGTCGACTGGCTGAACATCCCTTAATCGGCCGGTGATTTGATAAAAATTCAAAATTTTTTGTTTGAACACTTGATATCAAATGAAACTTTTACTCAAATTTAATGGGAGAAGGGAGAGAGAGTTTGGGTGTAAGAATTCCTTACAGAGATGTTCGTGTCCCGCGTATGGGGGGCGCAGACCCGCTTATATACCTTTTGCGCCCCAAATCTACTCTCATTAGTCTCTCGACACCTGGTTCTGCTATCCCATCTGTCAGCACAAAATCATGCTGAACACCACCTAACCCAACTGCTAGCCCACTCTACGGGGAGCTCGGCAGCCGGGCTGCAGCTTCTCGGCTGCCAACAGCCATACTGCACTTCAAGACCAAGTGCTTCCAATAACCGAGCTTCGTTTCAGCCGTGCTCGACCGCATTCCGGCGACGCCGAGCACGGGATTGGTCACTCCGGTCAACCAAAGGCCTTCCTGCCGAGCTTCAGACACGAATCTTCATGCCGAGCTATGGGTGCGCGCCTTCTGACCGAGCAACGCACGAACCGTGAAGCCCTTCTAGGCCGCGGACGTCTCAGCCGAGCTCTCACTTGACCGGCCTTCATACCAAAGAGCCCAAGTAGCTTGGCTCTACAGGCCCTTTGCCATTACTGAGCAAAACCACGGCACAATCTTGGAGCCAAATACCTCGGCCCAATCTTGTTTGGCCGAAACTAGATCACAAATCTCCCTCTCAGTAAGTATACAGAGCATTGAACAACTAGTCGGTTGTTCGGCCGATTTATCTCCTAAACATTCACTTCCTTGCAATTTACTGTAGAAAGTCTGTTTCAAAATTTTGACAATTTAAACTGATTGGTCGACTGGCTGAACATCCCTTAATCGGCCGGTGATTTGATAAAAATTCAAAATTTTTTGTTTGAACACTTGATATCAAATGAAACTTTTACTCAAATTTAATGGGAAAATAAATAAATAAATAAACGTTAGAGATGCTTTTAGAAGTTTAATTTGATATGAATTATTATTCGTATTTTTTAATCAAAACTTTTTTAACTTATTTATTTTTATTAAAAAACATGTTAAACCTCCCTTCCAAAAAAAATCATCAAATTGAAGTAAAAATTATAACTAATTTAGTTATCCTTAATTTTTCCAAAGGACTTTTTTCTCTTAATTTGATACAAGTTTAATAAAATTATTAGATATCGCTATTAATATATATTTTTAAAAATTTTAATTTGATAGATGATTTGAGATTTGTGACGTGTGTATTCAATATTGCCTAATAATTTTTTGCTTGAATTTAAAATTGACTAAAATAAAAAATTTAGCTTATAAAAATAAAAAAAAGATATTGATTCATACTAAATGTTTAAACATTCGTTGAAAATAGTTTTTTTAATTCTTAGACAACGATTTTATCTTTCAAAATTAAATATTATTGTGTTATTTAGGTCTCGTTTGGGAACAGGCTAATTTAGTACCTTTTTAGCTATTTGGCTAAAATATAAGTTTAAAAAAACTAGTATGTTTGGGATGAATTTTTGACTTTTTACGAAAAGATGTGCAAAAAGTAAAGAAAAAAGAAAATCTTTAACTTTTTGGTATGAATTGTTGGCTTTTTAGCTAATTTAGTAATTTTTAACTAAAAAAGAAGGTTCCCAAACGAGGCTTTAATATCCATTTACCTTTTAAAGTAGACTTACCTTATTCTAAATTACATTAATTTTTATTGAGATTTGAATTAAAAATAACAAACTATATAACATATCTTGGATGGATGTAGATTTTGCTTTCATTTGCCAAGCTGGGTTGGGTTGGGTTGGGTTGGGTTGGGTTGAGTTTGGGGTTATTTTAGCTACATAAAGATAAAATAAGTTTTTTAATTCAATAAAATAAAATATCACATCCAACCTATAATCATTATATTATTTCTCTCACAAAAGTAAAAAAAACTCATTCCAAACGAGATTTTTTAGTCATAGGTTAAAATAGCAAAAAAGTCAAAAAAAACAACCCACTTCGAAAACGAACTCTTTAAATACATTGGCCCCGTTTGGTAAAGCTGTGGGAAAGTGATTATAGCTTATACCTTTTTTTTTTTTTGATCGGCAATTTATAGCTTATACCTTATAACTGTGAACATAAGCTGAATTTTGACTTATAAATTAAGCTTATCTTCCCCCACTCAAAGAATAAGTTGATTTTTGACTTACAAAAAGTTATAAGCTGTATTGTTAAGCTGAACCAAACACATCAAAATAGCTTAAATTAAGCTAAAAGCTGAAATAAGCTGAAAATAAGCCCTACCAAACAGGGTCATTATATAAAAAATAACTCAGATTTAAATTTGCTAGTCTACTTGTGAATTTGAAAATGAAATTAATTCTATCTAATAAATTTGAAACCATATTAAAATTATCTTGTACCTACAAAGATCATACTAAAGGGCTGTTTAGGATTTCTAAATAAGTGTACTTTTTGACTTTGGACTAGGGGTTGTTTGGGATATCTTAAATAAGTGCATTTTTTGACTTTTTGGACTAAAAAGTTGAGGAAAAAAAGATGGTTGTTTGAGACAACTTTTTGACTTTTTACGAAAATATGTGTATTAAAAAATTGTATAAATCAGTGTATAGGAGAAGATTGAGATAGAATAAGCAGTACGGTGGGATGTCCTAAGGGGCAGCGTGTGCAAAGTATTCAGCCCGTTGAGGCCCACCACAGGTCCCGTTTTGCTAATCGGAACCGTCAATGTGTAGAATTCGTCGAATATTATATACTTATAAAAAATCACGTTGATCGAATATCGATAGTTATTTGATTAGATTAATTTTTTTCAACCGTTAACTATAACATCATCCATTTTTTTTTTTATACAAAACTGATTTGATTATGTAGTTAGCGATATCCGATCAACGTGATATTTTATAGGCATATAGTACTCGACGAGTTCTACATATTGAACGGTTCAGATTATCAAAACGGGACCCGTGATGGGCCCCCACGAGCCGAACAACACCTTGTTGTTTGTGCACTCCGCCTGTGAAATTTTTCCAAAAAAGTCAGCTCTGTGTCTGTGGGGACGTCAGAGTTGTTTGTAATAATTTTGTGTAAAATTAATTTTTTATATTTTTTTGTAAATAGTAATAACTTTTTAACTTTTTTGGTAACTTTTTAACTTTTTGAATTTTTTAGAATATACCAAACCAGCCCTAAAGTTAGAAGAAAAAAATATGATTATATGAGATAACTTTTTGATTTTTTTATGGAAAAAAATGTATTAAAATATTATATAAAATAACAAAATTACTATATTACCCCTACGTATATAAATGCCTCCTGACAGTGATGGTACCGTCATGCATACGGTGGGCAACTAGGACCAACTTGCCTACAGTGCTGTTCGGACTGAACAGTGTTGTTCGGCTTGTGGGGACTCACCATGAGTCCCATTTTAATAATTGAAACCGTTAAATATGTAGAACTCGTCGAGTACTATACAATTGTAAAAAATCACATTGATTGGATATCGATAGCTATTTGATCAGATTAGTTTTTTTGTCAACCGTTATTTTGTGCACTGTCCTTTTTTTATACAAAATTGATTTGATCATATAGTTATCAATATCCGATCAATGTAATTTTTTACAGACATATAATACTCGACGAGTTCTACATATTGCGGTTTCGATCATCAAAACGGAACCCGTGGTGGGCTCCCACTAGCCCAACAGTACCTGTGACACCTCACCCTATATATATATATGTTCTGACAGCACATCATTCCAATGAGTAAATTACACTGACCTCCCCTGGGGTTTCTGACAAATGTAGGGACCTCCCCTATAGTTTCAATAATTACAGTAATCTCCCTCACTTTACCTAACATTCTCCAGATTTCCCCATTCTGTCAAATTGGAACAAACGGAGTTACTTTGCTATAGTACAATGACCTTATTGCCCTTCCTTTTAAAAAATTTAAAAAATGTTTTTTGATTGGAGGACGTGTTTAGAAGAAACAAACAATGTTTCAAACAGTATTTTTGGATTTATTTTTTAAAATATTAAAAAACGTTTAAGAAAATTTTATTTTTTTATCTTAAATATATAATTTTTATTTAAATATTTCTAAGTTTTTTTTTTTAATTTTAAATATTTTATTTTATTTCGTAAATATTTTAATTTTTTAAATTTTAATATTTTAAACTCAAAACACAACTTCACACTCAAATCATAACCAAACACATAACTAAAAACTCAATTTAAAAATTATTTTCAAACCTCATAACCAAACACATAACTCGACACTCTACACTACTTTCAAAACTCTATATTCAAATCGTAACCAAACACATAATAAAAAAATTAAAATATTTAAAAATATATTTATAAAATAAAATAAAATATTTATAATAAAAAAAATTATTTAAAATAAAAAAAAAATTCAGTAAAAATAAAAAAAAACACAAAAATTAAGAAGATAGAATTTTCTGAAAATTATTTTTGGAAAAACCTAACCAAAAATATAATTTTATCATAAAATTTTATAATATCAATTATAAAATATATAAATTTGTTATGAGTTAGAATAATAAAAAATATCATACGGCCGGTTGACCACCCGGTCGACCCCCAAAAGTTCAAAAAATTCAAAAAAAAAAAGGTTCAAACAGGTAAAAAATAAATAAATAAATAAATTTTTTTTGCCGTTACCGGTTGACCGGCCGGTCAACCAACCGGTTGCCCAGCGCAAATTTGATGAAACGGATTTGATGTTGAACCGTTGGAGCGCGAAGTATCAAATTAAGGAAATGACCCATTTTCGACTCAGATTTGGTGAAACATTTGGTACACCGTTGGAGATGCTCTCAGATCAAGCTTTTAATCAAATTCTCACTCAAATTTGATGGGGACAAAAAAGGGAAAATAACAAATCAGTTGAAGATTGGGAAAAAAAAATTCACATTAATTTATAAACTCAATTATTTTTGAAAAGCTGATCTGATGTGTAATTTTCCCAACAAAAGAGAGAGAGAGAGAGAGAGCAAGGATTGGAGATGCTCTTAAAGCATCAATTGTACTAAAATACGAACCATACCTGAATTCCTTCCGACAATTCCTGTTCTTCAGTAGCCGTGAGAAGCTTTGAGCTACTTGTAGTTCCCCTCAAGTAATGTAATGGATCAGAGTAGTCTACATCTTGTAAAGAACTATGCTTTTTTCGGCTTGCAGAACTTGATTTCACAGATACAATGTTGGCCACAGCCTTCTCTGCTGCTCTTGCTCTTCTGGCTTTTCGTTCTGTTTGACGCCTTGATCTCACAGCTATATCATTTGAGATTTGTGCCTGAAGAAGTTCAAGTTCCTCACTCATTGGCTCCAAATCATCTTCCTTAATAGGGTATTGCAATGAAAAGTTCTCCTCCAAATCAGCTACACCAACTTGTCTTATTTCTTCAAGCTGTGCTCTATCAAATAGGAGGGTATCAGCATCCAATTTTGTTGAGCTGTTATGGCTAACCATCTTTGCTGCGTCCTTTGCAACATTGACAGCTGCTTTTGCTAGAGAAACTGCTTTGGCAGCAGCAGCAGCTATAATAGCCTCTTCACTTGTAAGAAGAGTTTCCGTAGCCAAACTTGCTCCAAAGTTTGACTGCAAGGTGAATATCCGTCCAATAAATGGCAAGCATGAGGGACTATCTTAAAATCAAGTTGTTGTTTCATATTACATGGACTCTTCAAAGTAAATCAAATCCCCATATTGGACACCTGATACTTAGATAAGAGTGGAATATGTGTCCAATACTTTTCATCGAATACTTCTAATATATTTGTATTTAAGTTAACACCATCATTATATATATATATATTGTTGTATAATTGTTATAAAATGAGTAAAATGCCTTTTAGACACTGTATGTTGTTACATATATATAAAACCATTTTATCTCACATAATATGCTAATTAAACATAATAAATATAACATAATGACCCTTTTTTGCCGAGTCTATGCACCCTTAAATTTAAGGTTAGATGGGTTCGACCTCTAGATACGCATTTATACCCGACACCTATGCCCATGTCCACGTAACATATGCTTCATGAACTGGACATATGATATTTTTTTTTTTATAAAAAATTTAAAGAAGAGGACATGACTTTATAATAATTTTAGGATTAAATGAGTGAGAGTGCAATAATACAGCCTCTTGTGAACACCCAACTGTAATAATTTCAAGCTGACATGAGAACCTAACTAGCAACTATAAATGAGCTTAACTGATCGTACACTAGAACACCTTACTAGCTGCTTATTACTTAAAATCATTCAAATTTAAGTGCATCTGAAGTCAATCAATCATAAAATTCATAAAAAAACATTCCCCCTTTTTCTTAGAACTTTGAAAGATGAAAAAGAAAACCTCAACTTGGTTCAAACAAAACACTAGTAAACTAAAAAGCACAGATATTAAAATTATGTTCACAAGCCTAATGGCCTAACCTTTGGTGTAACCTTTTTTAATTCCCCCCACCCCCAAAGCACCACCAAAAATAAATAAATAAATAAAAAGAAGAAGAAGAAGAAGAAGAAGAAGAAGAAGAGAAGGAAAATGAAATTAGAAAAAAAAAAAAAAAAAATATATATATATATATATATATATGTATTTACTTATTGAGTTGTGGGCGAGTGCAGTTAATATTAAACTTTATTTTTTTAACTCTGTAAATTTAAGAGTAAATTTTACTTTATGATTTTATACTGTTATTCATATACGGATTATCTCATTTTCATTTGAAAATAACTATTGTGGTTTGTATAATTAAACATTCCGTTTAACTTGAAATACGTGTCAAACATAAAGGGTTAAATTATAGATAGAATAAAACAGAAGAGTTTAAAATGTGTTTTGTTTTCTAAACAAATGGCAAAATAGTTGTAGTTCAGACATTTAAATTATTTATATATAGGGGTATTTAAGTCTTTTTATTAAATCGTTAACAAGGTTAAAGGTGCACTTTAGTTCATAAATTACATGATGATTATTTCCAAATACGATAGGATAATCTGCACATAGACTGAATTACAAGAAGCAAAGTGAAATTTGCCCTAAAATCAAAATTATTCTCAGCCATCCCAACCCAAACCCTTTCTCTAGGGGTGTAATTTTGGCCCGGCCCGGCCCGGCCCATTCGGGCTCGGTCCGGGCCCATATCGGGTCTTGCAGACTATCGTCAAAAAATCAGGCCGGGTTAGGCCACGGACCAGAAAACTAGGTCCAGCCCCAGGGGTATTCAGCCTTTGGGTGAGCCTAAACAAATTTATTTATTTATTTATTTATTTTTTTCACCAAAATTTGATTATTTTTCATTAAAAATAATACTGGGCATTAGGTGGGCCGGACATCAAAACGATAGCCTAGGCCCTGGCCCAAGGCCTCGGGCTGGGCTTGGGCTCGGGCCTAAACGGGTTGGGCCCATCTCAGACCGCGAGCAGGCTTCGGGCCGCCCGCGGGCCACGGGCCAAAATTGCACCCTACCTTTCTCTATCCCATGCACCCTTTCCAACCATTATCTCCCACTCCTTCACCACCATGACACCCTGCACCTAGGGGTATAAAAAAAGCTTGATCTGGCTCGTATGTGCTCGGGTTGGCCTAACCCAGGCCTAGTCGGGCTCCTTTCATTTTTCGAGCAGGTCCATTTGTCGGAAATCACGGCCTAGGGGTAATCTGTCCTAGGATCTTGGGCTTGGGCTTGGGCTTGGGTTAGGTTGAATTTTTTTTAATTTTTTTAAATTTTTTTCACAAAAATATGTTGGAAAGATGATGTTGCGTATCGGGTGGGTCAAGCCTCAAGCAGGACTCAGATCGGGCTCGAGTTGGGTAAGGCTAGAACATGTATGGCCTGCCTTAGCCCCTAGCTCGAGGGTCTCGGGTTGGGCTTAAGTAGGTCAGGCCTCGGGCCAGCAGTTCATTTTTACACTCCTACCAGCACCTAAGAGTGTGCGTGGTGCGGTTCAAACAGTTTGAGAGAAAAATTATAAACGAATGGCAAATTGGCAAATTGCGGTTTGAGCGGTTTTGAATGGATTGGCAGATTGAAAAATATTCTACGCAATTATCAAGCCTGTGCATAATATATTACACTAATTTACATAATATTTTTCATATATATAATACAAACTAAATTTACATAATATATATATATATATATCTATATAATAAAGTAGGATGATTTTTGAATTTGTCCTACACACATTTGTCTTATTAGGACATTTGGACGGCTTAGATCTATTCAAATTATAAAATAACGGTTGAGATATATTTTTTAAAAAATATCCTACATTTATATTTTTAATTTTCCCGCTTCTCTCTCTTAGTTTTTCCTTTTCTTGTCATTCTATGATCCCACATTCCTCCCCCTCTCTCTCTTTCTCTCTTTTATATTTAATTTTCTTCAATTTTTATTTTTCTCTCATTTGTTTATTTTTTTTTTACTTTTATCTTTTTGTTCACTTATTTATATTCATATTATATGGAAAAATCTATGATCCCAGAATTAGAAGTCAGGTTTTACTGTGTGTAGTGGAGATTATATTAATGAGTTTTTTAGTCCACAAATAAAATAAATTTGAACAATTAATTTTTATTTTTAAATATATTGAATACCTGATATGAATCTTCAACATCTGTATAATAAAGCAGGATGATTTTTGAATTTGACCTATACACATTTGTCCTAATAGGACATTTGAACGGCTCTGATCTATTCAAATTATAAAACAATGGCTAAGATACATTTTTCAAAAAATATCCTACATTTACATTTTCTTTCTTATTTTTTTTCTTTTCCCACACATCCTTCTATGATCCCATGATCCCACCTTCCTCTTTTTTTTTTCTTTTCTATTTATTTATTTTCTCTTTCTTGTTATTTTTATTCATATTATATGGAAAAAGTCTGCGATCCCAGAATTAAGAGCCAGATTTTACTGTGTGCAGTGGAGATTATATTAATAAATTTTTTAGTCCACAAATTAAATAAATTTGAACAATTAATTATTATTTTTAAATATATTAAATACTTGATAGATTTCGTAAATTTAGACTGCATATGAATTTTCAACATCTATATAATAAAGGAGGATGATTTTTGAATTTGTCCTGCACACATTTGTCCTATTAGGACATTTGGACGATTCAAATCTATTCAAATTATGAAACAACGGTTATGATATATTTTTTTAAAAATATCCTATATGTACATTTTTTACATGTACATTTTTCAAGGAGTTTTTTTAAAAATATCCTACATGTACATTTTCTATTTTCCAGCTTCTCTCTCTTACTTTTTCCTTTTCTCACCCATCTTTCTATGATCCCATGATCCCACCTTCCTCTCTCTTTTATTTTTATTTTTTATTTTCTCCCATTTTTATTTTTCTCTCTATTTGTTTATTTTTTTTTATTTTCTTCTTTTTGTTAACTTATTTTTATTCATATTATATGAAAAAATCTGTGATCCCAGAATTAGGAGTCAGATTTTACTCTGTATAGTGGAGATTATATTAATGAATTTTTTAGTCTACAAATTAAATAAATATGAACAATTAATTATTTTTTTAAAATTTATTGAATACCTGATAGATTTTGTAAATTTAAACCTCATATGACTCTTCAACATATTTTAATAAAGCAGGAACATATTTTTGTCCTATTAGGACATTTGGATGGTTCAGATCTATTCAAATTATAAAACATTGGCTGAGATATATTTTTCAAAAAATGTTCTACATATACATTTCAACTTTCTTGCTTCTCTCTCTATCTTACTTTTTCCATTTCTCACACCCCTCCTTCCATGATCCCATGATCCTGCCTTCTTATCTCTTTTCTTTTTATTTTTTTTCTCCCGTTTTTATTTTTCTCTCTATTTGTTTATTTTTTTTTATTTTCTCCTTTTTGTTCAATATATTTTACACATATTTCCGTAAAATGTATGTATGCCCGTTATACACTAGGACATTACGGACATACATACAATTTCCGTATAATTATATAAGCAAAAGTAGTATTGTATGTATGTCTGTGGAAATTGTATGTATGCTAGGCACATCAATCTATTTAGTTATATATTATATAAGTAAAAACGAGTTTTTGTCAAGAGTTTTGTGAGAATTCCAAAATTTTATAATAAATTTGTGATTTAATCAAATTAAAAAATAAATTTAAATATTGTTGGGATTATAATTATATTCTAATCCTAATATTATTTATACTGTGCCTTCAGGCACGGGCATACGCTAGTATATATATATATATATAACTACTAATCTATAATAAATTTAACATATTAAATCTCTTTTACTCATTTTTACTTTAATATTTCATTATAAATTAAAAAATATATATGTATTAATTATAATGGAGTGGTTTCGAAGACGGATTATAAATTTTAAAGTTTAAACCGCGATTAGTGGATAAAGCGGTGCGTGTTGATCGGATCGATACGATTTTAACGAATTGGACAATATTTTACACAATTGTACCTGTACCATTTTCTACCATTGTGACCTTTTTTTCTTTTTTTTTTTTCTCACGTGACTCTTCCTATCTTTCTTTGTCACACTCAAGAGTTGCTGGAGAGAGGTGAGAGTAGTGAAGAAGGGTTTTAGAATGGCATGGAGGGACTGAGGTTTGGCGAGAGGGACGCGCATGGGTTGGGGTGGAAGTAAGGTTTGAGTTAGCATTTGCAATGTTAGTGTGTTAGCTTTATGTTAGTGGTTTAGACTTTATGTATAGTGTAATGTTAGTGCTTTAGCTTTATGTTAGTGGTTTAGACTTTATGTATAATGCAATATTAGTGCTTTAGATTTTCATCATTACAATTTGTAAATCGTCTCCTATATAAGGAGCCCCTAACCATATGAATAAATACAATCTATTCTACCTCTCTATACATTATTCTAACATGGTATCAGAGCTAGGTTAAGAACTTAATATTTTTCACTTCACCGGCGGGCGGCAACCTCGCCTTGGCCGCCCGTCGGACCTCAACCTATTCCGCTTATTTTCTACACATAACTTTGAGTTCTTCGCCATCAACGGCGGCAACATACTCCCTGAAAGAGAGACAAACAGGACGATCTTGAGCCATGGCACCGCATTCTCTTCACAGACAGGTGCCGACACGGCAATACACCCACCGAAGCAACTTGTTCCTGACACGCCTTGCAACTCGATCCACTCGCCTCTCTCTCTCTCTCTCTCTTTGTTTCTCTCTTTTCGACGTTGAATCTTCATCTGGATCTGCCCCTTGCGCTCCATCAGCGAGCTCGCACGGCCTGCGCACCTCATGTCTGTCACCAGAAGCCTCGCCACTGCTTCCAGCCGTGACTGATCACTGTCTCTCTCCATGACCCAACTTCTTAATATCATATCACCCACTCCCTTCTTTGTCAATCACTCTCACATATGGGTGAGAACAACACTGCTACCAAGAACCAGAATCATCTTAACCACCATGCTATGGACATCTCTGCCGGCGGCTCTAAATGCTTCGATGACGATGGCCGCCTCAAACGGACAGGGACTCGGAGTTGCCATTGGGTACACCATTGCATCTTCCATAAGCATGATGGCAATCAAGAGGTCTAATTGCTTCCATGCAAATCCATGCCAGATATGCAAATCCATGCCAGATATCAAGCACTCCATATATGTTCATTTTTGGTGTTAATGAAATCATTTTCTCTCAAATTCCGGATTTCGATCAGATTTCTTGGCTTTCAATTGTTGCCGCGGTCATGTTGCGCATCCAGAAGAGTACTCGGACGAAAGGGGAGCCGACGCCTCCTGAGTTAACTCGTCAATTGATCTCTACCCAAGGACACCATCCAAAACATCTTCACTCAGCCTCAACAAAAGTAGACTCCAAACCCACTCACCGACTCCCCCAAAACAAAATAGAATCATCATCTAACTTTGCCACCCCTCTGATAATTATCCAACTAATCCACTCTACCATAGGTCCCTGACTCTTTTCTTTTAAAACTCATCCTTTTTTTTTTTAAAAACAACTCCTCCTCCCCCAAAGACATAATCATCATTCTGACCATACACCATCCTCTACAATAATAATTCTTCATACACTCACAATTTTACCCATTCTTTTTATTATTATTATTATTTTTATATTTTTTTTTCATCCCACCGTTTCAGACCCCATTAACAGTCTGTTCCCACTACCCCCACTTCCCCTTTACTTTAACCATCATTTCTTTCACACTTTTCATCACCTTTCTTTTGTTCTCTTCCTGACCCATCATCCATCGCCCAACCTTTATTTTCCTTATTAAACAGCTTCGTTGGTCTACCTTCTCATTTTTTTTTTTTCTTTTATCCCACCCATCCACCGCCCACACTTTCTTTTTTATTATACAGCTTCCTTGGTACTCTCGATTCGCCCTGTTCCCCACTCCCCCCTTTATTATTTTTATTCATCATTCTATATTCATCTTCCCCAGGCTCATTTTCACGAAAGAACAAAAAAAAAAAAAAAACAAACAAACAAACAAAAATTTTGCACCACAACCCATATTTTCTTCATCTCAGGGATCCACCCCAATCACAATTTTACACAAAAAAAAAAAAAAAAAAAAAAAAAAACACAACCACAACCACCACCAAAACACCCACAAACCCATCACCAGAACAACCACACCCACTAGCGGGATTTTTCTTCTCTACTCTGCTACGGGTCTCTTCTTCTTGCTTTTCCTTGGGTTCCTACGGTGCTGCCTCCGTGTTTCCACCCGCGGCGAGGCAGCGTTCACTCCCCCTGCTCCTCCACGCAGCATATGGCGGACCTCCAAATCGGACATCACGTGGCCTTCCGCTTCAGCTCCTTATTTTCCGCGCTTTAGCACCACTATCTCTCTCGCGCATCCTTATAGCATGCGTTGGAGGCAGAGCCAGTTTGCGTTTAACTGCTGCACCTCATTTGTCCTGCTCTGCAGCCGGTGTGCGACAAGTTGTGACCCCGCGTGGATCTCGTCCACACTATGACTTCAGATATAGGCTGAGGCCTCAATATCAGTTTTGCGGATCCTTCATTTTTTGCTGCCACAGACCGCATAGAAAGTTCAACGGGATAGCAAACCCAGAGGTGTTTGGTTGAGGTTCACTGGCCACCGCACCAGTTATCTCTCTTGTTGACTCGTTGAGGTCGGGAAAGAGAGTGAGCAGACCACGGGAAGACGAAGCCATTTTCTGGGCACCAGCGTGTTACAGAGTATCTCTCTGAGACAAGGAAGAGTTTTTTAGAGGATTTTTTCAGAAGTTTTTTGTCAGCCTCAGCCTCAGCCTCCGCATTGGTTTATATCGACACTGACGACGCGGCCGACACGCTGCTCTGTCGCCCACGTGCCTCGCCGCGTCTCCGGCTCACCTTTTGATGGCTCGACGCTTTCTGTCGGGCACGCCTTTTGATGAAGTGGGCGCGCCTTTTGAGGGTACGACTTTTGAGGGCTCGATGCATATATACATGTATATCTTTTGGGTAGCCTATCTACACACTCATACAGTGTCTTCTACCACGGTCAACTTTCTCACTCCCTTTGTTTCAACCTCAAATAGGTTTCTATCTTCACATCTATTTGAGTTTGAGGGGGGGTTATACATATATCATGTATCATGGTGAGCATGGTTACACACCATGGGAACCAACCAAGCCACCCCATGGCGCACTCCCTAAGTCGCCCCCTTGGTGCACCACCACAAGCTTCTACAACGGTCCGACATGACCCCATAAACTGTCCCGACATTGATTCCGGTCAGCTTCTACAACGGTCCGACATGACCCCATAAACTGTCCCGACATTGATTCCGGTCAGCTTCTACAACGGTCCGACATGACCCCATAAACTGTCCCGACATTGATTCCGGTCAGCTTCTACAACGGTCCGACATGACCCCATAAACTGTCCCGACATTGATTCCGGTCAGCTTCTACAACGGTCCGACATGACCCCATAAACTGTCTGCTACATCGGTCTGACACGACCATACCGTGTCTCCTATCCTGTTTTATTTACCTCGTAAACTGTCCTACTACAACGGTCCGACACGACCATACCGTGTCTTCAACAACGGTTCGACACGACTATACAGTGTCTCCTATCCTATTTTATTTTGTTTGTAGTTTATTTTCCCGTTTTATTACTCTCTCCAAACTCAAGTTGGTTAGTTCCTATCCTCCTTGAGTTTGAGGGGGGCTGTTAGTGTGTTAGCTTTATGTTAGTGGTTTAGACTTTATGTATAATGCAATATTAGTGCTTTAGATTTTCATCATTACAATTTGTAAATCGTCTCCTATATAAGGAGCCCCTAACCATATGAATAAATACAATCTATTCTACCTCTCTATACATTATTCTAACATGCAAGATTAGGAATGGAGGTAGGGTTTGAATTTTATGATAGGATAGAATTGTAATAAAAAAAAAGTTTTATGAAGTTCAAAAGAAAAAAAAGAAAAGAAGGAGAAGGTACAATTAACAAATATTAATTGTGAATTTATCACTTTAAAATTTAAAATCTATAAACAAGTAATTTATTTACAAAAACAGCACTATAATATCATATCAGTTTAATTCCAAAAGGACATGAGTTTTCAATAGTCAATATTAAAGAGACACCTATTTATTTTTTAGTAATTCTATGGTCCAAGAAATGGAAAAAAAAGAAAAAAAAAGAAAAACCAATCTATGGTTGATATTTAAAGTTGGTGTCGTGTGTCTATCTTAAGTAAATCTAAATCATTGATATAAAATTCTAAATATTTTCTGAGTTTTTACGTTTACGTTTGCGATTGTAATTCTTTATTTTTTCTTCTTGTTTAGATAAGAAAACTTCTCATAGATTAAGTTTTTCAATTAATTTAAAATAGGGTTTAATAAGGGGGACGGGGGAGTCCATTGTTGTGTGGACTCAAAACAGTCATTATATATAGAGAAACCAAATTCTGAATAAGATATAACATAATACAACTCAAATTCTGAATAAGATACAACATAATACAACTCAGCTCCACTCAACGCTCCTTTCACAATCCCTCCAAGCAGATAAGCTTGATCAAAAAACAACGAAATGAAACAAGATGAAGGTTTTGATAGTGTTCACGAATACTGGTCGCATCGATTGGAAACCAACCCTATTATGTGCCGCATTAATTTTGAGCTTTACAATTATTGCGTTGTCGGGCCTATCGCAACAAATGTCCCCAATTTCAAACCATCCAATGAATTTTGATGTTAAAAATTGTTAGAGATTCAAAAAATTCTATAAAATGTCTTATATGGGTGTAAAATTCACACGGGACCCACATCATGTGGATTCCACACCTATGTGAGACATTTAGTAGAATTTTTTAGTCTTTAACATTACTCTTTTGGTATTACACAACAAATTACACCTCTGTTTGGAGTATTTCTTTTTTCTTTTTTTAAAAAAAGGAAGAAAATAAACATCATTATAAAAATCAAACTCAAAATGCCTTCAGTTGGTTTGCATTTATTTTTATTTTTATTTTTTTTATATTGAATATTATATATATATATATATATATTTTATTTATAAGTTGTTATGAAGATTAGTATATCAATTATGGTATTAGGAAGTCTCTCTTTAAGTATTATTTTTATTTTATTTATTTGAATAAATCGTCGATCAATAAAAAAATATAGTAGAATATTTTGAATTAATTTTTATCAGGTCATGAAAGTCGATTCTCCTTGTGTTAACTTTTATTCCTGTTTCTTTTACTTTTATTTTGTTTGTATCAATTTATGAGTGTAACTCAGCCAGGGCTTGACAACTTGATTTCACTTTAATTTTTTAAGAATTTGGATAACATATTTTTGAATTTGGTGTGAGTTTGAGAAGAAATTGAGAAACACTAATTAAATTAGGATGAGTTTGAGCAAAATAACAAACAACATGAGTAATCTGGAATTCGAATTATATATAAAAATATTAAATATGCATATAAATTATTAATTGTTGGATGATGTTAAAATAATTCTGATCATTAAATCATATTCACTATATATATATATATATATACACGATACACAAGTAATAGAACACAAAATTGTATCATTTTCTTTTTTTTACTTATAAATTACAAAGACCATCGCATAGTTTACCAAAAAAATATCAGTATAGTATAATTTCATTAAATTAATTAATCTAGTTAAAAAAAAAGTTAAGAAAACGAAAGTTTTAAAAAATTGATTAAAATATTAAAAAGTTAAGTAAAAATAAAAAAAATACAGATCAAAAATTTTAAAAATTATTTTTAAAAATTCAAAACTAAGCATAATTTTGTTTTGGAGTTTGGATTTTGATTTTAGCTAAGGAATGATTGGGTTGTATGAGGCTTTGTCCCATAAGTATTCTTTTGTATTGTTGCTAGGGCTGTTTTATTTTATTCTTTTTCTTTTGTTATAGTTGCTCTTTGAGTTGGAATCTCTTCAACCCCTCTTCATTTTGATTTGTACTCGCAAATGATTGGATTTACTTACTTATGTTAATTTATTTAAGTTTGTGTTAGTAAATGATTATACTTGCTCTCTTGTGCAAATATGATTGTGATGAGAGTCTTATTATGTTGATGTAGTTTTTGTTAGGGGTATAACTTGGGTGGGTTTAACCTGAGTAATTCGAACTTAATTTGAATTTTTTTAGTGTTTGAATAAGATATTTTTAAATTTGGTATAGGTTTAGACAAAAATTAAGAAGTCCGAATTAAATTTAGACAGGTTTGGACAAAGATATCAAATAATCCAATACCCAAATTATATATAAATGATTAACCATTACATGATATTAATATAATTTAGATTATTAAATCATATTGAATATATTTTATATATACCAGTAACATAAAATTTTACTTTTTTTATTTTCATTCATCAATTGCAAAGACTACTATAGCGGTATTTTCCTTACATTATATAAATTATTTGTTTTGATATTAATAATGATTTTTTTTAAAAAAGGCATAAATAAAGTCTAATTTTAATAATTTAATAATTTTGTTGAAAAAAAAAGAAATTTATTTACAATTCGGACAACTCGGATAATTCAGGTTTAACTCGGATCGGATTTGGCCAGACAACCTCTTATTACAATTCGAGCTTAGTCAGACTTAGGCAAGTCTCAACACAACTTGAACTGGGCTTAGATAACCTACCAATCCGATCGAATCCGTCCGAGTTGCACCATAGTTTTTGCATTTTTATTTTTCTTTGTTGCTCTTGTACTTTAATCTTTATCAATAATATATATATATATATATATATATTACCAATAATTATTTTTTATGCTAAAGAAAAAAAATATATACTATACAGTGTAAGGACCAACATGCTGGCTCAATGCCCATGACCAAGGATGGTCGCTATCCCGTTAGGGTATCAATCCTTCCAAAAACTCGAGCAAAATAAAAATGGGACCTGATACAGAAAGGATGCTCAAGACTTTCACTTTTACTTGTTCTATTAAGTTAGCAATGCTCTGTTTGGCTTATGAATTTGGATGGATATTTAGAAACAAGAAGGGAAATGAAAAATATAGGTATAATATGATTGAAATATTTCACCTACGTTTCGCATACTAATTTTTATTTCACTTTTTAAATCTATATTCTAAACACAACTTATAATTGTTTTAAAAATTAAAGCAATTAGAAAATTTAATCTAATAATATATATATATATATATCAAGTTATTCAATGGCCTTGTTTGACAAGTTGGCTATTTAGTTTTTTTGTTTATTTTAACTTGACTAAAATAGTTGTGTTTAAAAAATTGGTTGGCTTTTTTTTTGTTTTGTTTTATTTTGTTTTTGTAGTTGATTTGATAGTTGTGAAAAAAAAGAAAGTAAAATGATTATGGATTAGATGTAACATTTTGCCTTATTAACTATTTTAGTCTATTTTATTTTTTAATAGCCTATTTTAATCCAATCATCTTTCCAAACACTCCCAATGTTGCGTTAGCCATTTTTTAGTTTCGTCTCACATGAGTTCTCAGTCTATTGGAAAATCTAGATATTACGAAAATTTTATGACCAATCAACTTACTTTCTCACTTTTTTTTATTTTTTGTTTTTTACGGGCAAATTACCAACACCTCTCGAGATTTGACTAAAACATAAATTTTCGTTTGAGGTTTGAGAAATTACATCCCGCTCCTAAGGTTTATATTTGTATAATAAATTGCCCACTTAGATTTATATTTACATAACAAATTGATTTGTTATGTAAATATAAATTTCAGGAGACAATTTGTAATTTTTCAAATCTCAGAAGAAAATTCGTATTTTAGTCAAATCTCGAAGGGGGTGTTGATAATTTGCCCCTTTTTTAAATAAAAAATGAAACAGACAAAATAAGAGATTTTTTTTCACCATTTTTCACTTAATTAAGTTAATTACATATAGAATAGTGACTTTTTGACTTTTTTCAAACATGCCAAATCAAGCCTTAGTTTCCTTGCATTTTCACTGTAATATAACTTTAGTCTTTTTATTTTGAATTGCGACACTCAAAAATCATTTGCACTTTAAGATAAGTTTCAAAATTATCCTTCCGTCTATCTATCATTAATGAGATTGATAAAAATTAAAAGCAAAGGAAATAAAATGAAATTTTGATAAAAATGTAGGTGTTTTAATGAGATAAAAAAATGTGAAGTTTAACTCATATGACGAATTCCGTAACCTTTTTAATAATGATAGGCAAATGAAATGATGATATTAAAATTTGACTTAAAATATAAGATATTAATTGTCACAATTAAAAATAAAAAAACTAAAATAAGATTACAATAAAAATACAAAGTCTTTACAAGTGTAAATAATTAACCCAAAACTTAATTTATAAACCTTCTAACTTCTAAGTCTTTCATTCCTTATCATTTGTCATCAAATCACAATCACCACATCTAAATTTAGACCGCTTTATGCATGATAAATTATAACATTGTCATCTGGCATTTTTATTCTAGTACTGACGGACAACATTATTTTTTTCACACTTATTATTTCATAACATTGGGGTTTACATGATAAATTTATAAAAAAAAAGAAAAAACTTTATTCGAGTAGTAGTGGACACGATTGTCATATTCTCTCTCCTCACCCATAGTTTTACTCAACAAGGGTGTCATATGAATAAATTGATATACTAATTAGTATACCAATATATGTCATAACATAGTAATTGATATCACATAATTTATTAATACATTAATTAATACATATAACTGTATTCTTTGCTCAAATGTAACCAAGTCGGTTAGGCATTTTCGAGAGTCATCACTGCCTCAAATATGGGAGAGGTGAAACTACCGGTTGAGACATATGACACACATCCGTTCCATTCATCGCGTTTGGTCAGGCCAGAATTGTACAATAGACCGCATATATGGTGCCAATGGCTTCGTTTGGAAAGTTGTTATTTTAGTAAGCTATTTTAATTTTTGGCTATTTTAGTAAGCTAAAATTTTTGTCGGTTTGATGTGATATTTTGTTTTATTAGCTATTTTAGCTTATTTTGTCTTTTTGTGAATTTTAGCCTAAACTAGGCTATTTTTTTTTCTTGCCAAACACCCCCATGTTTGTCAAAGTGGTCAGCGTCCCGGATCTCTGTATACGCCTGCACATTAGATTTGTTTTTTTTTTAAATTTATTTAATTTTTATTTTTTTTATAAACTATATTAAATTTGGGATGCAGTAGTGATTGTTGTGTAATTTGGAAATTCATTTTAAGTTTTATTTTGATAATTTAAATAGTTCAATTTTTAGAAAATATGAAGTAGAACATATCTGTAAAAAAATCAAATTGATAAGCTATATCGATGGCTGCATCATCATATTACATTTGTATTATGCTTTGATACTTAAATATTTATTTTTAATATATACAAATGTGATTTGATGGACATATTAATTATATTTGATCAATTTGATTTTTTATACATATGTTTTACTTGATATTTTCTAAAAAATGACTCGAAATTTCAAGTCGCAAGAGAGTCACTGCTGCACATTTGGTACAACAATGACCCCCACTCTTGTTTTATTAGCCTATTGATTTTAGTCCAATTCCTAAAAAGAGTTATCAAATTAAATGGTAACAAAAGGACTAAGTTGACAAATGGATATAATTGAGGGAGCCTAATACAATTATTCCAAAATTATTGGACTTCTTGTAATTTCTTCAAAGTTCAAAGGATTTTAGGGTAATTTATTCGCCCCCTCCTCTCAAAAAAAAAGATAAATTACACCTACCTTCCTTGAGACTTGTAAAAACTACGGTCTTTGCACTTTTAATATAATTATATTGGCATTGTTTTTAGTAAAGTTATGAGTAGATACTAAAATAAACCAAAATAAATATACATTTTAGTAAAAAAAAGGTGACAATATAATTTTAACATTGATGCGACTAACGAATTATTGAAAGAAAATGGCATAACTATTATATGAATTAAAACTTGAAGAGAGACCAATATAAATGTCACAAGTACGTGACTAACTGTATTTTTTCCAAATCTCAATTAAAGTAATTGTAATTTATTCAAAAAAAATAAATAAATAAAAATAAATTAATGTCTGTATATATTATTGTGAATTAATCAATAGCATGCAATTCGAAGTTGGCCACTATGATTCTTCTAAAGGTTTAGGATTTAGTTTAAGGGGGAGATCATGGGTTCAATTTTTTCTAAAAAAAGTTCAATTGCAATAGGGATGAGACTAACTCTCATAATTGTTAATCTAATAACTAACGAGTGACTTTAGCTGATTAATAAAAAAAAATGACATGCAATTCCTTTTAAACACTAGCCGTGTTGTCCCAAGTTCTGTTCCATGGGTTGGACCAAGCTAGCATCCAGTCACAAGTATCGTCAGCTTGGTTCTTGCCGCGATACACAACAGCTGCAGTTGATCCTGTCGCAGTTCCAGTCGTTTTGACGTGTAGAAAAGCACCCCACTGCCCATTTGCAATCTCTACTGGTATGGAGCTGGTCCACAGTGGCCCCAATAATCGCAACTAGTAATAAATTTTACACGGTCCCCTGTAGCATTGTAAACCAGGCAAAGTGTGGAGACTCCTACACCCCATTGCGCCTTCAAGTTCTCTACATATTGGCGAGCATTCCGGTCCTTATTCTCTGCGTTTTTCATATTAAGGGCCACATGTGCCCTATCTGTGCGTGTGATTTTCTTGTCCGCATAGTCTGGCATTCCTTCTAAAGTTGCGTTGGTGATAGGGGTCCCAAACGCATTGTACGCCATGTCGATCTCGGGCTATAGATTCCTACAAATTGGAATTTAAAAATAAATAAATAAATAAATCTAGGTGCCAAGGTGACTTGAGTGTACATGGGTATTTACAAAAATAATAATAACAATAAAAGAAATAACGAACCTTTTGTAGATAATGAAAAGATGATTCAATCAAAAGGATGCCTGTGACGAGAGAAAAATTGTATAGTGAAAAATATGCAAGGACTACAAAAGGAATAAAATTTAAAAAGATGTAGAAAAATAATTACACTCAATTTAGTCCTTATTTGGTAGAGGTCTAGGAGAAATAAATTGGTACAAATTTAACATTTGACATAATTTGCTCCAAGTGACCGTTTTCAACTTTGAACTCACAACCTTAAGATTAATAAGTTGAGTTTTAACTACTAAACAGTTGGCTCCCTATCATAAAATTGAAAAAGGAAGTAAAAAAGAAAAATGAAATAGGAAAACCAAAAAATCAAAGGGGTGTGAATTTGATAGAAGTTAGGGAGAAAATTGAAAAGAAAAGAAGAAACAGATGACAATACTGTAAATTCCGAGTAGGTGAGTGGCCCTCCCTCCTCTTGGGCAATCCTTGTTTGGAGTTCTACCCTTTTTCTTGGTGTTCTTCTCTCAAGCCTGCATGGTAGACTTCTTATATATGGAAAAGTCCATGGTATGCATTCATCAAAAGTGTACATCGACTGCGACATATATTATGTTCTAGGAAATGGTTTGTCTTTTTGTTTTTTTTTAATCTCTAAAAGTAAAAGTTTTGTTATAAAACCTTGGCCTAGTTTGATGGATGGAGATAAATAGTTGGATTGGAGATATTATCCATTGGGTTCCATATATCACTTGTGTACAATTTCTTTTCAAATGGGATATGATATGCAGATGGATTGTATATCCTCCAAAACTACAGGATATATTATACCATACCCCCAGTTATATAATAAGATATGAATTAAAAAGACATATATACTCCTTTCTCTAATAAATATATATGAATTAATGTTTGTTAGGAGGGTAAATTTGAAAATTACTTACTTATATACCACAATATTTTTTGCTAAACAAGCATAACTATGATATATCCAATACTCATATCCTGAGTTAACAAACAAGAATGGTAGGATATGTTATTTACTACACATATCCTATCATTGCATATACTCATGTAAATCCCAAAGGAGATTATATGCTTCATTTTATCCCAGGACAATCAAATAGGGTCTAGGTGCTATCATCTCCTGCGAATTTTATCTGAGATTTTCTCGATCCACGTGGAGGGGACGCTTTGCATGGGTCTCGAGATTGATTAAGGTGCATGCAAGCTCGCTTGAATATTCGGTCATAAAAATAAAAAAATTTGTTATAAAAAAATATTAAGAGAGTAATTTTAGTTATTTTGTAAATCATCACGAAAAGTCTGATAAGAACAGTAAGCAAAATGACCTTAGCAACAAAAGTTTGAAAATGTCGCTAATAAATGTATCTTTTAATCACAAAATAATTTCGTGTCAAAAATTACTTTTTTGAGGTGAAATTTTAGTCCCAATTATTTTAATATGTCATTACTAAATGTTGAATTTCATCACTAAAAATGCCACAATAATAATAACTAAAAATTTTATTCTTAATTTTTTATTCTAAATATTTAATTTGTTGTAGTGATTATGTATGCTGTGGTCTAAATTGTGTCTCTTCATTAAAAATAACCTACAAAATGAGTGATCAATGTGTGGTCCAAGTTTCATAGTTTGGGATTTATTTTTATGAATAATTACAGAAAATGGTATAAATTTAAATAATTGCAAAGGGACAAGATGAAGATTTAATTGCATAATTTAATCTATAAATTGCGTGTACTTTCATGACAAAGCAATTATTTTGTGTTAATATGCGTGTACTTTTATGACAAAGCAATTATTTTGTGTTAATATTATTTTTATGTAATTCTCCCTTATGTTTAATGTATTTGTGTTAGTTAATAACTTACAAAATCAACGATCAATGTGTGATTCAAGTTTTAAAGTTTGGGCTTTATCATTACTGTATTAGTGTTAGTTTTTACTATTCCTATGTCGGTAGTTATGGTGGTTGTATATGATTGTGTTGGATTTTCAAGTATCAAACATGTTTTTGACATGAATTATGTTTTAGAGATAAAAATTTAGCAATAAAATTATTTTTTAGAATTATTTTTGTAATCACAGTGTCATTATTTTATTTTTTTGGACGAAATTTGATATTTTGTGATAAATTATTGTCACTTTATAGCTTCTTTTTTTTTTGGTCTCAAAAAATTAATCTTTTTGGAGCTAAATTATTATTTTTTTCTCTAAAAATGCATTTATTAGGAATATTTTCAAAATTTGGTGGCTAAAAGTTTTTTTTTTTTTTTTCAGACAACTTTTTAACAACTATTATCAACAAATTTTTACTTTTTAAAATAAAAAAATTTGGTTCCTTAAACTTTTATTTATTATAGTTTTGGGATGTGATTATCTAATTATGATGCAATTTTACCACCATTGCTTGTTTTTGCGAAGGCGCCATCAGCATCATTATTTACCAATAATTTTTTTGGATGATCAAAAAAATAACAATAATAATCATAACATTCACAACTAACACAATCATAACAAAATTGTTACATCCACTACTGTATGTCATGACAAGCACCATAATAATTCATAAAAATACCACAATAATTCAAAAAAAATAAATTTACATCACAAATTATTATAACATTAAAATAGTAATATTTTTATTTGTGATTTACCTTAACGACTCATAACTTTTACCAAAACAATCATACTTACCATCATAATACCGTTACGTATCCACTAAACATCACTCTATTTGATTAGGAGTTTTTAAAAATATTTTTTTTGAATTTTGAATTCATATTTTTTTAGCAAAAATCTTTACTATTTTAATATTTTTTTTTAATTTTAGACTCATTTAATCTAGTACACTTAAAAATATATAATTTGTGTAAATTTTTAAAAAAATTCATCAAATACAAAAAAATATAAAAATTTAGTACATTTTCATATTTTATTGTATTCAATGATATTTTAAAAAAAAATATATATATTTTGTGCAAATTTTGTATTTTTTTAATTGTATTTAGATTAAGTGGATTTAAAAATTAAAAAGTTTGATTAAATGTTCAAAAAATTCACTAAAAATAAAAAAATTTGAAATTGAAAACTCATGAAATTATTTTGGAGTCTTGCAAATGATCAAACCCTTAAGATCCAAGCACCGGATTAAATAATCGATTCAACTACTACAAGATCAAATAATTAGGGGTGAGCATGGTCCAGATTGGTTCGGATTTAGAGAAAATCAGGACCAATCCGTTATCTATGGTTCTTGAAAAATTAGAACCAATTCAATCCGTTTAAATCATAGAACCAATCCGAACCAATCCGTTAAATACGGGTTGGATCAGTTTAGGATCACGGATTCACATAATTAAATAACAATAAAAAATATAGAACATTTAAAGCAAACAACTTTCTTTGTGTGGGTCTATTTGTGTGTTACTGTTAAGAAATAACTGAACCACTATTCTAATGTTAGGAATTAATAAGGTCATGCATAATTCTTTGGCGATGTATTTATTTTCTACCAAATTAACTAATATTGCTGATAAATCAGTTTGCTACCAAATAAGGTAGATGGCTCAACAATGGATAGTTTTAGTGTCATGAATGCTTTTGTCAAATATAAAATACATATATACATAGTATATGGTTAACTTATTACAATATATTTATATTTATTTTTCTTAGGTTATTTCATGAATGAGCCTAGCTTTCAATCTTCATGGATGCACCTTAATTAGTAACATGCAGACTAAGTCTTCTGTCTTTTGTCTTACTTCTTTAACACAATGAATAACACTATATCAAAAATAAAAAAAAAACATACACTGTATATGGTATAAATATAGATTATTTTTAAACGGTCCGGATCGGTTTCAATCCAAAACCGTGGGGTTCAATCCGGAACTAATCCGTGACCTACGGATTTTGAAATTTCTAATTCGGAACCGAATCACGAATTCAAAAAATCAATCCAAACCTATTAGATTGAACTAGATCGGATCGAATTACAGATTTTACGAATTCCTTACTCAACCCTACAAATAATCAATCCAGCTATTACAAGACCTTTCTGGCTACCACTCCTCGTACGGCTGAAAATCATCTCAAACCAGCATTCATAAACCAATCATTTAACTTATTTTTGAAATACTTATTTATTGAATATATATTTTTATTTTCATTATTACTGAAAATAAATATAAATTTATTTAATTTTTTTATAATTAAAAATAATAAGCTATAAATGCTTTTTTTTTTTTGTTTCAGGAAAATCCTCCCTACCCTCCCGCAGGTCCAAGGCAACGTCCCTTGCAAAGATCACCAAGATGTCCTGTTAGCCGTTCCGAACAAGGAGACTATAGCATGGGAACTTGCCCCGACTTCTCAAGACAAGCTCCGCTTAAGTCAGGACTCGCATAGCGGGGGAGCATTGAACCCACACCAGGTGCTGACTAGACAACTTGAAATCTAACCTCCTAACCAACAGTGCTTTGCCGAGAAGATTAGCCCAATGGGAGAATTGAACTTGTGATCTTGGGCTACAAACCCCAAGGCCTAACCATAAGCTATAAATGTTACTAAGCAATCCCCTCCATTTTGCCAAATGAATCGCTTTTGAATGACCTCCAGCTAGAAAACTTTCGTTCTTATCTCTAGGACTGTCTGTCCATGCCGGTCCCCAATTTTGAATGACCTCCAGCTAGAAAACTTCAGCATAGGGAATAATTAAAAAAATAAAAAATCAAATTAAAACAGAATCATAAATATTATAAACAAAAATTGGACAAGTGAGACTTTTGAACGGAATTTTTTTAATTTTATTTGATTTGATTTTTTAAAAATTACTTTTAGGTGGGTTTTTATTTATTGTAGTTATTTTTTAAATATTTTAATCAAATTTTTTTATTTGTAGATAAAAAAAAAAAAAATTTACTAAATCACTAAAAGAAAATAAATATCTATTTAAAAATAAAACCAAAAGGAGTTTATAAATGGGTGACGGCATGCGGTGATGAGTGGAGGCAAATACGAGTATCATGTTTGTTTTTTTCGGTTTTTTTTTTTCCTTTTTTCATTTAATTTGGTGGGGTTTTTCAACATTATGAAAATATTGAGTGTCCTTTATGCTGTAAAATCATAATACCAGGGACCTTAAAAAAAAAACCCCTTTTTTTTAAGATCCCTAGTAAGGCTTTATAATATAAGGGTAATCAATATTTTTATAATACCTAAGGTTCTTCAATATTGATCCAGAGAAAATTCAACCCAAAGAATTTCTCTGGCCTTTTCAGAAATTTTTTCTCCAAAGAAATTCTGGACCTCCCATAGATTTTCTCTCCAGAGAAATTCCCTCCAAAGAAATTCTGAATTTCTCTGGACTTCCTAGAGAATTTCTTTGTGTTTTAACTAATTTTCTCTGGTTTGCTCATAATTTTCTCTGTGTTTTTTTATCACACCAAACTGTAAGCCATTTAGACAACAACAAACCAAAGAAAATTGAATAACCATCATTTTGACCAATGTTCTCTGAGT